TCTCCAAGTATATCCTCTATTTTCCTTTCAATTCTTCTTTTAAGTATCTTTGCTATTATCTTTGCTGTATGTGCAATAATGCTTATTGTGCGATGGTCGCTGCATTTTGTAGCTTCTGTCTTTTTCTTTAAGGCAATCATTGTCAATTCTGTTAAGTCCTTGGGCCACTCTCCAGTTTCATATTTGGTGTTTATTAGTTTTATCAGTGTTTTCAAACCACCTTCTCCCAGCAACTTAAGCACATCTCCAGGTACATCATCATCTCCTGTAGCCTTTCCATTCCTCATGTCCTTGATAGCTTTTTCCACCCCACTTTGTAAAATATATGGTCCTTTCTCGTCTGTATCTACTTCTTCTTCCGGTTCAACTTCTAAGGTTTCTGGCCGATTAGGTCGATCATATAGTTCTGTAATATAATTTTCCCAAATTTTCAGCACTTGCCAGTTATCAATACAATTTCTTAATCATTCCATTATTATTAACAATAAAGACCACTTTATCTGGTTAAATATCATATGGTGAAGTGAAAATGGTCCCCAAAATATTACTCCTCCATCCTGATGTCCATTGTGCATGCAATTATGATGAGACATCTGTTGAAATATTAAAAACTATACCCATTTTTGACAACACTGTATCTGAGTGAATGCATACTACTTCAGAATATTTAGAAACAGTGCTCATTAGTCTGGTAAAGTCTGGCACTGATTTCTTTTAAACAACTTGATGAGAGGCCCGATATTTCAGATAGGTGATTTTGGGGACCGTAAGTCTTCAAAAAGCTGGTCACAATAGCCACACAGTCTAAGGCATGAACTGTCTTCATTCGCTTGAACACTGGGAAAACCACATCCTTTAGTTCCTGTTAACAAATCACTACTGGCACTAGGCCAATTGTGTCACAAACCCTAGTTATCAGAGTTCACTGCTCAGTGATGAAAACTGTTGCATGGATACTCATATTTCAAAACTCTCTTATAGATTTGTTTCTACTTAATACCAGGTTTGGTGACTTCTGAACCAAACTGCACTTGGCAGAATACATGTTTCCACACATGCATATGCCTATACCAAGAAAAAACATCAACACAGTTGGCACTGTATTTTGAAACATAGATCACTAACTGTAAATACATGGTACCTGTAACAAGTCCCTTCCTTTGCAGTTAAGTTTAGGTACCACCTGACTAAAGCTCATGCTTGGATGGTACACTGGAAAAGGCTTGTAATCTGGAAGCTGAGTAATCCCTGGCCATGTTTCTTCTGTTGCAGTCCCTAACAACTTGAAAATACGCTTCAATTGATCATCGACATCAGAACCAGGAAACAGGGGTCTTCCTGCATTTGCCAACTCTGCAACACAAAAGCCACAGCCAAAGATGAAGGTAAACGTTACCCTTTGCAGAATCAGGTACTGAAAGACCATAAACAACGTAAAGGTTTGGGGATACAGCCAACTGTGAGCCTGGCCTTTTTGTGGGGGTTCAGCTCCAGTCTTTTTAACCTTACCACTTGAAGGAGGAGAGTGGTTATTGTCACAGCCTGATAACTTTTCTCCTCACAGAATTTCCCCCAGCAACCATTCCAAAAAGCTGAGTGGCCCTTGGGCCAACTTGGACATAATGGCACAAGAAAACTTTCCACCTGTGCCAGGAATTAGATCTTGATTCCTCATTCATCTAGCCCATAGCCTAGTCACTATATGGACTCAACCCACCAGCCCATACTTACCTGAGCATATCAATGGAGGTGTAGCACCACATGTATTAACCCATGCACTAGACAGACACTTGGCTTCTGGTACCCATTTCATGGGAGGATGCATGCTGCAGAGACCATGTCATTATACAGCATGTCCCAGATATAAGTACACAAAAATTGGAGGGTGAGTATTATGGCCCAAAATGAAAATATTTTACATAAACATGGGTCTGGAAATGCTTCATTAATGAACCTGAGCCATTCCAAGGTGTTTGAGTAACAGCTGGGATAGAACTTTGGTTACAGATGTAATATATGCTAGGGAAACTCTAGTAGGAAACTGGAGCTTACAGTAGCTTTTATCACTACCCCCTTCCCCATTCAACAAGAAAACACAGAGCCATCAGTGTTCCCCGAAACAGTAGGATAATAGAACATAAGTTTCATAATTAGCTTTAATGTCACAGGACAGTACACCTTGGGTTAAACATCTGTTAGACACACTTCATCACTAACAAAACAAGTAGATTCTAAAGGGTTCTGATTGTGTGTAACATTTAGAATTACTGGATTTTTGGACTTTGTCTATCATCCAGTATTCTAAAAACTAGAGAACATAATGTTTCGGAAACTGGATCGATTTCCATCCTCAGGTGAAGGGGAAGACACCTACTCTGTTGGATCCCTTAGAAAGACTGGACTGAATATTATCCAGTATTGTTATTTGTAATTGATAGTGTGACGGACCAACATGAAACAAATCAAAACCCTTAGAAAGAGCTAACCAGTTAACTGAGGTTGCTCTTTCTAAAACCCAACAGAACAGGTTCCTCCCCCTTCCTGAGGATGGAAACAGATACAGTTTCTGGAATGTTGAATTCTCCAGTTTTTAGAATACAGGATGATGGACAAAGTCCAAAAACCCAGTAATTCCGAATAACAAAAGAGTTCTGTTCAAAAAAAAAAACATAACAGTTGACTAAAAATATAGTTCTACATTCCAGTGACATGAGGTGGCAACTGTTGTTAGGACTACAGTAAATGTTCAGAATGTTGGCTTTGCACTGCCACAAAAGCTCTGGCATAATGACAGTTCTCTGCACTGGCCACAGCCGAAGCATACACCAAATTTGTTATATGTCACCAAAGGAAAAAAAATCAAGGGGACTCAGGTCTGGTGAACTAATTGGTCAGGATACTGGTCCATGCCTTCCTATACATCACCAAATACAGGCAGTCACTGGAATTGGCTGGGGCACCACCACATGTAAGGCATATGCTTCGTCAAATTTCTAGGGGGACAGTAGCCAGCAGCTCTGGCAAAGTGTGCAAAGTACAATAAAGTCAGTTGACTTTCAACAGAATGTGGCATTATATTCCAGAAAACAGAACTCCTCACAACCACCGTTTTCAGAACCTCAGATCTTACACATTGTCTGCTGCACAGTATTTGTGCCTTTTGTTTATCGAATGTAGAATGAAAGCAAGTGAACAATCCATACCAGCCTGCTCACTGCAGGCTTGGCAAAACAAAAGAGAAACAAGAAACTTATTAGTGAAAAATGTTGGGAAATTTTAACTAATATTGAGTTAATTTTTATATTATATTATATATTATATTATATTGAGTTATATGATAATTGTGATCAATAACCAAATGATGCTTGTAAACAACATCATTTTATTTACGTTCATTTAAATTTTAAACATGTAAAAACAAATTCTCACTCCAGAACGTCAAACAGACTTTCTGATACTCAAAGGGTATCTGACATTATGGTTAATCCTACACATTTCAAATGGCAAAAATTTCAACCTTTACAGAGACTGCTATATCTGACAGCATGCGACATCTATAGGCATTTTATCTGTAGTCGAGAAACCATTTGAAGTAATTCTTTCTCTACATTTCCAGTTCTTAGAGTTATATATATAATTTACCAAAGAATTCTGTTGTGCTTTGACTTGGCACTGAAGAAACTACTGGTGGCACTTCCAGAGCTGAAGCAACAATAATTTGTCTCAGTATTCCAGAAGCTACCTATTTTTGTTAAGTTTCACAACTTAAAATGCCCCTGTTACAGAGTATTAATCCTTTCAGTGTCAGCCCCCAAAGAACAAATTAAAAAAATGTTACTGAATTTTTTTAAATTTTCTATTCAGTTTTGTTTTATTTCACTCATTCCTGAACAAAATACTTTATTTCTTGACATAGCAATCCAAAAAGGTAAGCATGTCAGATACTGAGATTCTATTAACACTGACGCTATCCAATTCATGTTACTATTGATCTTAAGCGGCATCCGTAGTCTAGGGGTAACGTTCCCACCTCATGACTCAAGGTACGCAGGTCATGGAATTTTTAAGGGCGGAAAAATTCAGGGAACAAGTCCTCTGGGAGGGACTTTAAGCCGTGGCTCTCGTGTCATAGATTTACGGCACGTAAAAGAACCTCATGTCTCTAGGAGACCTCTGAGCTAAATTAGGCAAATTTCCCGCCCAAGTAGTTTCCAATGCCTCTGGTAGATGGGGAAGCTTAGGTACCATTGCCAGAGGAGGGACGACCTCACTGACAGAAAGGGACTATCAGATACCACTGCCAGTAGAAGGCCAAAACCTCGCTGGCAGGATGGAACGATAGCCAGAACCAGTACCGGTAGGGTACGGAGACAGTAGAAATTAAAAGGGGGATGCACAATAGATCAAACTGGTCGTGGTGCATGGGGTAACCCACCCCATCAATACTGAATAACTGAATACTACTGATCTCCATATTCAGCCTTGGTGTGACAGTATGACCATTATTCTTAAATATATTTTTCTTTCTCAGCAACACACCTACAGGAGCTGGGACAGTGTAGTCAGTATAGCGACTGGCTATGGGCTGAATGACCAAGGGGTCCAAGTTTGAGTCCCAGCAGGGTCAAGAATTTTCTCTTCTCCAGGTCATCCAGACTGGCTCTGGGGTCCACCCAACCTCCTATCCAATGTGTACCAGGGGCTCTTGCCCCGGGGGCAAAGTGGCAGGAGCGTGAAGCTGACCACTCACCTCCAGCTAGTGCTGAGGTCAAGGAAAGTGGATCTGTACATCCACTCCCCCATACAACTTCATGGCGCAGTGCTCAATTAGTTAAGCACAGGGACAACTTTGCCTTTTCACCTAACTACATAGCTACAATAAAGGAAATACATGCAGAACAAGAAATCACTGAATATAAGGAATCACAGTTTGATTCCCCATACGGCAAGAAATTTTCCCTCTCCAAAGTGCCCAGACTGACTCTGGGGCCCATCCAGTTTCCTATATATTGGGTATCTGCGCCGCTTTCCCTGGGGAGTAAAGTGGCGGGGGCATTAAACTGACTACTCACCTCCATCTAGTCTCAAGGTTAAGAATATGTGGAGCTATACCTTCACTCCCCATATGTACTCGTAATAATGGAATAATGGTTAACAGATTAAGCAGAGGAATAACTTCACCTTTAAGGAACATCTTAACATAACAAAGAATGAGATGCAAAACCAACCGATGGAAATAACTTACCAGCAAAGATGCAGCCAGCAGACCACATGTCAATTGAGGTTGTGTATAGTTTGGCTCCAAATAAAACATCAGGTGGGCGGTACCATAATGTCACCACCTCAGCTGAGTAGCATTTAACTGGGATACCAAATGCACGTGCAAGGCCAAAATCAGCCAACTTCAGCTCACCATTCTACTCACACAAAAAAACAGGACAGTTATGCTAAAAAGGAGTTGTTTTGAATAATTCTATGAAAAAGTAAAGCAATGTAAGAAATGAAATGTCTTAAATAAAAATTGAGTTTTAAATAAATATAAAATGTGTATGTGTGGAAGGAAAGGGAGGTAAGAAATTCTGAATTAATGTTCAGTGATTTATTTTTCTTCCAGAACAAAACAAATATTCCACTGATCAAAGGCTATAATGACAATCTTATCATACCTGTACATCCAATGGGAAAGTCCTTAAATTCTTATTCTGCATCTGTATTCAGTTGCGAAAGAAATAATCCGCAAATCTAATCAACAGATTCAGCTAATACCTTCAATACTAATTGAAATATTATAAGGAAGTGATTATGAGCAATCGGGAGAAAGAGATCCATTGGGCCAGATGGCATTCCTGGGGAGATTCTTAAGTTGGGTGGGGATATTATATTTAAGCATCCTGTTACACTCACACAATATATGAGACAAACTCCGTCTTAAGTGCAACAATTTAATTGTAGTTCTTCCTTCTTTCCTTCCTCCACACTACATGTTTCGGCCCTAAATGGCCATTTAGGGCCGAAACATGTAGTGTGGAGGAAGGAAAGAAGGAAGAACTACAATTAAATTGTTGCACTTAAGACGGAGTTTGTCTCATATATTGGGTGGGGAAGTCACAATTCCGTACCTTGCGAGATTGCTGGACATAACAATGAACAACAGATCTATCCCAGGGGGCTGGATAAAGGCTCTAGTGGTCCCTATTTACAAAGGAGGAGATCAATCAGTAATTGGGAACTACAAACCAATCAGTTTAACATCAGTGGTTTGCAAACAAATGGAGCATGTTATAGCTGGGTATCTAAGGTAAATTTGGGAAAAGAGTAAATGGCTATACAAGGGCCAACATGACTTTAGACCAGGGTATTCATGTGCATGTCAATTAGTCACAGTTTGTCAGGATACTGCTGATGCCTTGGATGAGGAAGCCAGGACATACGCAATAATAACAGATTTTTCAAAGGCCTTCGATTTAGTCCCATGATAGGTTACTTACAAAAGAGGCGGAAACTGGAGTAGACTTGAGGGTAATTGTATGCAGAAAGGAATTTCTCTTAGGACATTCAAAGAGAGTCAGAGTAGACAGGCACCTATCTGATGAAGTCATAGTGCTGTCAGGACTGCCACATAGGAGCGTATTAGGTCCACTACTATTCCTAGCTTATGCTAATGATATTTGGGACACTGACTCAAATATATAGCTATCTGCAGATGATCACATGATATACAGGAAAGTATTGGACAGTACTGGAAAGTTGCAGACAGATCTGAATAGATTAGAGCAATGGGCGGCAGAAAATAAAATGAAGATATATTCAGATAAGAGTACAGCTGTAAGTTTCATGAGAGCTAGGGTGAAGGATCGATTGAATTATTATTTTGGGGATCAATTAATTCTGGGGGCAAATAGCTTTAAGTATCTAGGTATAATCACATGCAGCAATCTAAGCTGGGCAGATCATGTAAACTATACACTACCATAACCATGGAAGGCCCTTCATTTAACAATGCATATATTCAGACAGGGAAATAATAACTCGAAATGTCTGGCTTATATGTTACTAGTGAGACCGCCACTTGAATATGGTGCAGTATGTTGGGAACCATACAGAGATGGGCAGGTAGTGCTTTAAATAGGGTACAAAGAAGAGCAGCTAAATTTTCAAATCATACAAATGAATCAGGATGGGAATGTTTGGCACAGCATAGAATGAGAGCCCAATTGTGCACCCTTTACAAGGCATACACCGGGAGACCGGCATGGAAAGTGACAGGGGATAACACAAAAACAAATAATAAACTAGTAAAATTGATATAGTCACTGATGATGATGCAGTGAATAACTAATGAACAAACAAACAAACAATGACACTTCTGCGTTCAAAGAATTCATTGCTGTGTAATTTCTTCACCTTTTCACTTTACACTGACTGGTAAATTTACAGTAATACTGCACTTCAAGTTTCTTTTAAGTCTCTCATAATGTTGAGGCCCTAAACAGTAGCTTACATGTAAGATCTGAGGTTATCACATTGGTGATTATGAAGAGATATATCTTCTGGGATGCAACATTGTGTGTTCCACTGAAAGTCAACTGACATTTCAGACGAATATGTTGCCTCCATCTTCAGGGTCAAAGAATAAGCCAAGCAAGGAACCAGCATGAAGCAGATAGCAAGTTCTGTTTGGCTTATTCTTCAACCCTGAAGATGGAGGTGACATGTTCCTGCAAAACATCAGTCAACTTTCAGTAGACTATAAGAGGCTACAGCCAAGAAGGGAGAACCCCTTTTAGTAGTTTACTAGTCTATTTCATGCCAATGGAAAATCATGGGTTCAAGTCCCGATGAGGTCATTGGAGTTTTTTAATTGACCTGATCCTTCCAGCCACACCATGGCCCTGGGGTTCACTCAGCCTCTAACAGAAATGAGTACCAGGAATTAATTAAATAATTTTCCTGGGGAGTAAAGTGCAGCCGGCGCATAAGGCTGACAACCTTACCGCCATCTTTGAGCCGACTGTCTAGATAATGTGGGACCCTCAACTTCTCACAACCCTATGGGCCTTCATGGCCTGGTAGAGGGATAGCTTTACTTTTTTTTTTTACCTCTACACACATCTAAGCTCAAGTTGTATTAATTTAACAATGATTTTGAAAATTATGCCAAATGGTAAATATGTGTCGGTCTTTCGCCATATAATAGGTTTGGTGAGAAAAGACTATTATTCAAATGTATACTTGTAAATTACAACTACACGCATTACAAATATATGCAAATCTGTATTACAACTGCATAATGGTGATGTCATACAAATGACAGGATTCACATTATTTTAATACCAAAATATCTTGAATGATTTCCTGAAACAAATAACAGCAACATAACTGCAATTCACTTAATATGTGGCCTATTCTGACCAAAGTTTTAATACCACAAAACAATCATTCAATTAAAATAAAACTTATATATATAAACAAAATTATAACACCCCTTACCTTATTGATGAGTAAGTTCTGTGGCTTGAGATCACGATGTAGAACATTATGGCTGTGACAGAAGGCAAGACCACGCAGAAGTTGGTACATAAAAGACTTTACTATATCTGGATCAATTTCACCATTCAGACTATCAAAATACTTCTTTAGGTCTTGGTCACAGTGTTCAAATACCAGAGTCAATTTCTTGTCACTATGCAGAACATCATAAAGGCGTACTATGTTTTTATGTTTCAGTTCTTTCAGCAAGCAAATTTCTCGTAATGCAGACGATGGTACACCCTGAGAAAGTTATCTATGAATAAATTCCATCCAAGAGCAGCTCTTGCACAAGTTAATAAGATTAAACGAAACAAAATGCCAAAACATTTCATACATTACTTTGCAGGTACTTACCTCATCATCGTCATCAAGGCGAACTCTCTTCAATGCAACAATTTCATGAGTCTCCCGATTCTTGGCCTTAAAGACAGTTCCATAAGTACCTGAGTAAAATACACACATACAAATCTAGTTGGTATATCATGCCGTAAAACATAATTTAATTTGACTCAAAATATACCTGCTCATGAAACAGAACTTCTAGAGTGAAACATTACCTTCTCCAATTTTCTCTAACTTTTCATATTTTTGCATATTCAGTTGTGAATGAATGCCAGCAAAGAATGTTGTCAGTGGTTACATTCAGACTCTATTATCGTTATACGGCATATACACGGCATGAAAATCAAAGACAAATTCGGCAATCTAAATAAATATTTCCTTAAGCTACAATTATTATTTCTTATAGCCACATTATGAACACGAACACACGACAATCAAACGAAATCAATATACCAAGACACCGTTCATAATTCTTGCACGCGGCCAGTACCCAATATGCATAGAGATCCGTGGTTAGGATGTTATTTACGCTATGCCATAGGAACCTTGGAATGCATGGTTTTCTACAAAGATGTACTCTGTCGAGAAGGTCGAGAACGTCGAGAACGGTCGAGAAGCTAGACGATCAGTATCAATCCAGAACCCAGAAGAAACGGGAGGTAAATTCATCCGAAATGTAGGATTCTTCATGTTTCAGCAGGTACAGTAGGTGCGCGATTCAATAATTAATACCAGCCGTCATGAAAACCTCAAGTCTGGAATGGGATCGAGTGACGGAAATAAAGTTGGAAACTTAAAAATCGGAGAAGACTTTCCCAAACAGACCCTCTAAATAAGTTTTGAGGTTTTCACGGCGATGACAATGAAGGAAGTTGTCTTCTGGGTTTAGGCACCGTGTATTCTTCGTTTTGGCCGACGTTTCGGAGGAACGTAGCGCCTCCATCTTCAGAGCAGTTCAATAGCTGCGGAGAGTAGTAGCTGTGGTGATAGAATGTGGAAGGTGCTGCTTATATACGAAGTAGGCAGGGGGGGTGGTTAGGGAGAACGGACCAATGGGAGCAGTGGAGAGCGATTAAGGCCATATATGGTGTGTGACTAAGGGTGAGGGGGAACGGCCAGTGAGTACAGGAAACTTCAGGTCAATAGCACTAGGAAAACCTACCGGTTTTTCTTGACTACCGCACTTCCTAGTGCTATTGACCTGAAGTTTCCTGTACTCACTGGCCGTTCCCCCTCGCCCTTAGTCACACACCATATATGGCCTTAATCGCTCTCCACTGCTCCCATTGGTCCGTTCTCCCTAACCACCCCCCCTGCCTACTTCGTATATAAGCAGCACCTTCCACATCCTATCACCACAGCTACTACTCTCCGCAGCTATTGAACTGCTCTGAAGATGGAGACGCTACGTTCCTCCGAAACGTCGGCCAAAACGAAGAATACACGGTGCCTAAACCCAGAAGACAACTTCCTTCAGACCCTCTAAATGTTGACATAATCTCTTCGAACGAAAGGGAAAGAAAACGAATGTCAGAACTTTCCCTGTGTTATTTCGTGAAGTTCGTGAACGCAGTTGAAGCTTCTTGTTCACTTATCGGCATATTTTCTTCTGTACGTACTCGACATTATGTTTGCTCAGAATCTATTAAAAATATATTCTTCGTCCGACAAGGATGAAGCGCCTTTGCTGTTAATGTAGTTTAAACATTTATGGTATCACACTTCTGTATAATGGGAAATTGATAATTTGAAAATAAGATCGTAGTTCTTATAATCATGTTAATTTTATGTCATAAAATAAAATTGGAAAAAAAATATATTTACTTACCTTCTTGCAGTTCTAGTACCGTATTATCCCATATTGTATCCTTTTTTATGTTTCTGTACTCCTGATTTATTAAATCACGTAAAAATGTATGCAATTTTACAAATTATATTAATTTTTCAGCTTAGGAGGCCATTTTCAGACACGAATGTTAAAACTGAATGCTGGATACTAAGCGATAAGCTTCAAAATCGAGATTGCATGTTGGCCTGTGTTACCGCATTGCGATCGCCCAAAGTGCGTACGATATTTAAAACCTAATAACTTCAAAACAGCCACTCCCGGGTTGGTTGGGGAAGATGGGGAAGATCTGCGTAATTTTTCATCATTTCCGAAATTAGAACCGAGCATCTCCCGAATATGCCTCTGAATTATCACTACTATAACTGGGTCCTCCTCCTCCACTACTACTACTTGAACTTCCGAGTATAACCGCAAATCACACCACAAACTTTCATAATTGTGGTCATTGTGATTGTGTGACCAAGGGGTGTAGAAGTGAACAGTGTTGATTTTCATTGTGTCATGCTTACAGATCACTTAACAGCCATATTGGATGAGAAGAACTTTTATTATAATGCAAAACAAAAACAAATGAATTTAGATCACTATTACCAACTTGAACATTATTACATTACTAGATTCTCAACGTTCCTCCTTAATTTCAAAATGTTACAAACACATTTCTCATTTTCCTCCTTAATTTCAAAATCTTGTCAACATTATTAGTTGTTTTACAAAGTTAAATTGAATAACACTTAGTAATTTTGGTCTTCAGATTACAAAATTAATACATGTAATTAAAATTTTGTCTTATCACAATCAGACTTATTTTTTCTTAAGTATAATGTCTCTAAACTTGGTAAATTTCTCTGGTGATAGCGGTTTTGTTAAAATGTCTGCCACCTGAGTTTTAGTGTTAAAATATTTGATTGAGAACAGTTTCTCTTTCAGTTGTTCACTTATGTAATGATACCTAATGTCTATGTGCTTACTCCTACGCATTACTTGTCCAGATTCTATTAGCTTGATTGCACTCTGATTGTCGGCACACAGTTCAGCTTCCACCCTTTTTCCTGTTAACTCCTCTATCAACGTCTTTAGATATTTCAATTCTTTACAGCACTCAGCTGCTGCAATATATTCGGCCTCTGTGGTTGATAATGTAACAATACTCTGTTTCTGAGAGCACCATGATAATTACATATCCCGTTATGCTCTTCCTATCCTTTACATCCCCTGCACAATCAGCATCACTAAATGCTTCCAGTTTCACAGTTTTGGAGTCAGATGAGGTATATTCTATTCCTGAATCTCGTGTACCTTTCACGTACCTAGGGGTCCTTTTCACATTCTGAACAGCTATTTTGTCAGGATTTTCTAAGGTTCGACTTACCACATTTACGGCGAATGCCATATCGGGCCTGGTTTTAGAAGTCATATATAGCAGGCTTCCTACAGCTTCTCTGTAAGGAAATCTTATGTCATTTTTCTCATTTTCTCCTTTGTCATTTGTTGGTGTGGTCATGGCCATGGGTGTTTTCATTTCTCGACTTTCTTGCATGTTGTATTTTTCCAACACTTGGCTTGCATAGTTGGTTTGAGAGATATGTATCCCATCTGGTTGCCTCTCAATTTGTATTCCTAAATAGACTTTTGGATTTGTGGTCTTTGTTATCTGGAATTGATTTTCCAGTTTCAGCAAAATTTCCTCTGTTTGTCTTTCATCCTCTCCCATGATTATCCCATCATCCACATGAATGGCCATGAACAAACTATTGGCATCATTCTTAAAAATGCATTGGTCAGATTTCTTCTTTCAGGAAAGTTGTCAACTTCTTGTTCCATTGCGATGGTGCTTGTCTTAGGCCATATAATGTCTTTTTCAGGAGACATATCTTGCCAGTGTTCTTGTATCCTTCTGGTATCTCCATGTAGTTTTCCTCCTCAAGGTCTCCATACAGGAAGGCAGTCTTCACATCAAAGGTCTGCATGTTCATATTCTTACGTGCTGCTATGGCAAACAGTACTCTAAGAGAATTCATGTCAACAACTGGGCTTAAGGTATCCTTGACATCTATTTCCCCTTCCTTTTGTTGGCATCCTCTCACAACCAGTCTGGCTTTGTGTTTTTCATCATCCTTTATTTTGAAAACCCATTTACTGGTCAGAATTTTCTTGCCCACTGCTTTCTCTCTGTTTACATATATCGAAGTTTTGTTTTGGTAGAGCGAATCATTTTCCTCTTTAATGGCTTTCTTCCACTTCTCGCTGTCTTCACTCTCCATGCACTCGCCATATGTATAGGTGAGCATACCCTCCTTTTGACTCTCTGTGTGATAGTCTCGGTACTTTGGGTGCATTTGAATGTTTCTTCTTGGTCTCAATGCATATCCATGTTCGTTTTGTCCACTGTTTCTCTTTCCATTATCCTTGTGGTCAGCATTTTCATTTTCTTCATCCTCTTCAGTATCTGTTGGTTCTTCTTCACTATTGTCAGTTTCAGGTTCTTGCTGCATTTCGCTATCTTCCTGATTTGGAGTATCTGGCTTGTCTTCTGGATCCGTCACTCTTTCCATTTCCTTTTGTTTATTTGTTGTCATAGGTTGACTTGTGAATGTCACATCTCTGGAGACTAGGTCCTTTCAGTATTTGGATCCCATATTCTGTAGCCATTTGTGTTGTATCCAACAAATATTCCTTTTTTGCTACGACTGTCCAACTTTTTCAATGGTCCAAGAATTTTAATGTACACTTCTGAACCAAAAATCTTCAATCCAGTGATATCTGGTCTTTTACCATACAAATTTTCTGCTGGCATTCCATTCACTGTCACTGTTGGACTTCTGCTTAGCAGATGTGCAGAAGTGAGTACAGTTTCACCCCACATTCTCTTACTTAAACCTGAGTCAAAAATCAATGCTCTTGCCTTTTCCACAATTGTACGGTTCGTCCTTTCAGCAGTGCCGTTTAGCTGTGGTGAATATGGTGTAGTAAATTCCATTACAATCCCCTTGTTCTTACACCATTCTCTCAAGGCGTTGTTCTTATATTCTCCTCCATTGTCGCATCTTATTCTTCTCACTCTTTTATTGAAGTGACACTCAACTTCATTTACATATTCCTTCAAAAAGGTATACACTTCACTCTTATTTTCTAACAGGTATATCTTACAAAAATGTGTATAGTCATCCACACACGTCACTATGAATTATCTCTAATGGCTTTCCAGCCCTACTTCTTTCTGTATCAAATGGGAGTCTCACTTGTTTGGCCTGCATACAAACTGAACATGTATCAAAATTTTTACACTTGCTCACACTTCCTGGTATCCCTTGGCATACCTCTTGTAGTTTCCTAAGATTCACATAACTTATGTGATCTAGCTTTCTATGCCACTCTACACTTATATCTTGCTGAGTCATCATAGCTTCATTCCTCGTGCTAAAGCTAATTACAAACAATCCATTTTCATTCTTTTTTTCCTTCGATTACAGCATTTTTGTCCTTGAATATCTAGACTTTCTCTTTTGTAAACAACACTTCTCCATCATTTTCTGTAATACAGTGCACTGACAGCAGGTTTTTGCTGAGTTCTGGAACATATGAAACGTTTTTCAAACTACACTCTTTAAATTCCAAATGCCTATTTCTTTTGCAGTCATACTTTGATTTTTCTTTGCTACCTTTATACACTGAGTATACTGCTTAGTATGTATCAAATCAGTCTTCACATTTGTCATGACATGTGCTACCACTGTCCACCACATACATTTTGTCTTTTGCACCTGCATCACTCACGTGAGTTTCTGCTGCTTCAGCTAGAAAATTGACCTTGTTTCTTTTATTCCTATCTTTAAAATAACAGTCCTTTTCAGCATGGATCGTTTTCTTACATAGTGTACATGGTTTTCTTGTATCATCGTCCTTATTTCTAAAGTAACAGTCCTTTTCAGAGTGATTATTCCTTTTACAGATAGAGCAATTTCTCTTACCTTTGTTGGGGCAGTTAATCTGGGCATGACCTATTTGATTACAATTGAAACACTTGAAAGGGGTTTTACTTTTGGTTTTAGTTACTGTCTCAAAAGCTATGTTTTCCTCTTCTTTAGCCATCATCTTGTACTTCATTTCTTCTAACATCAATCTGGCCACTAGGTTGTCAAGGGTTCTGTCCACGGTCACCGTTGAGTCCCAAGCGGTGCTGAAGTGTTTGTAGTCTTCTGGTAGAATCGTTATTTTTGTCATGATCATGTTTTCATCAACGTTTTGGTTCAGTTGATGAAGCTTGAAGGCAGTGTTCTGCACATGGCTTATATTTGTCATCATATCCTTAGTTTTGTCATACTTGAAGTTGTAGAAGTCTTGCAGCAGAAGGCACTTCTGTTGAGAGGTGTCTCGCTGATAAATTTGCTTCAAGGTGTCGTACATTTCTTTTGTGGTTGTGCATGTCACAATGTGGATTTTCATGTGTTTCTCTATCGTTCTCACTATACTGTAGTATTGGCACTTTGCATCTTGTATCTTCCATTTCCTTATATTTTCTTCATCTCTTCCTTGGTCACTTAACAGGTCGCTGCCATCAACAACGTTGATCAGTTCTTTTGCACGCATCAGAATCTTGATTTCAAAATCCCACAATGGAAATGAGTCGGTGTCCTTCACTTTTGGCAGATGCATCATCTCTTCTATCTCTGTGGTTGCCATTTTTCGTTATTCTTCTTCTATCTTCTCCTTTTTTATTTTCTTTCCTTCCTTCCTTTAAAAAAAAACAACAAATCTGGGCCCATAACCTGTTGATTTTCTTTGTGTCATGCTTACAGATCACTTAACAGCCATATTGGATGAGAAGAACTTTTATTATAATACAAAACAAAAACAAATAAATATAGATCACTATTACGAACTTGAACATTTTTACATTACTAGATTCTCAACACACAGCTGGGGTATGATTGGGTATTGTTGTTATGTGACAGGATGTCATTCAGCTTTGTTTTAACAAGTCATGCTATTTGATATTAATAATCTCCATGGCCCAGGTAGTCCGTGAAGAATTTAAATTTACGGTCAAGAGAACCTTTGCTTTTATGGCAATCTACAGTTTTCACAAAAGTCTGCTACTGGATTCTGACGAGACCCAGTTGAATCCATTACATGTCTTTCCGCATAATCCAATCTGTTATCCTCTCATCTGCACTTAGGTCACTCAAGTAATACCTTCCCTACAGATTTTCCAGTCAAAATGGTCTATTCATTTCTTATTTCCCTCATGCATATCAGTTATTTCCAAGATACCATGCAATGCCAGTGAAAATAATTATATAACAACTTATTATGGAGAAGTAGCTATATCCAAGAACAAACCAGCCAAACCCATTGGCCAGACTAAACATGGCAATCCACACAGAAATAGAGTTTTTAGAATAATAAAAATAAAATAGAAACACCACTAAACAAATAAGTAGACTCGTTCCACATTACATAAATAGTGATGATTCAAAAAAGAATGTGGATGAAATAAATCTTGTAATTTACTACACAGTTGGCACACAGAAAATATGTAGAAAATCGAAATTAACATACATACTTTAAGTTTAATTTTAACCAATTTATTTCAAATATATGTAGAACTGTTGCTGACAACAGTATTAGTATTAATATTAAGACAATAATTTATATGCATCACAAGGGTATCCTTGTGAGTTTCAACCTGCAGTAATGAGTAGGCAATGGAAATTTCAATGTATTGACCAACCTGGTGATAGATAACCTTGTGGCCATAACATGTTAAATATGCAGAATATGTCTGCATGATTGTATAAGACCATCACTGGTATATAACACAAAAAAGATGCAAAATCAAATTGATTGTGGAGCAATTGGTGGAATGAAGATTAGCATGGGAAACCGAAGTACTTGGAGAAAACCTGCCCCAGCGCCACTTTGTCCACCACAAATCCCACTTGACCAGACCCGGGATCGAACCCGGGCTGCCATGGTGGGAAGCCAGCAACTAACTGCTTGAGGTATGGCGTGGCCTTACCATCAAGTTAAAATCCACCTGCTAACTCTGTGGTATTCTGGGTTTTAAAATCCCCTATTCCTGGATGGTAAAGGTTAATGAGAAATAAAAGATCAAGTGGATATCCATTTCTTATGCATTGTATATTAGCAACAAATTAATCAGGTGCAAAGCCATCATTTATTTATTTTCACTTTCTTCTACACAACATAATTGTATTCTCCATTCATGAAGTTCCTTTTTCAGACACTTCTTCACACTCTGGCCAGTCACTCATGATAAGTCATTTAGATCCAAAGTATGTTGTGGATTATCATAGAGAATAATTACAGATCAATTATATAAAACAGTCCAAATACATAAAAATTACAGATTTATTAGGGATAAAGTAGAATGCTTCTATCTACTAATAATTAGTCCCTGTGCTTACTTAGGCACCACATCCTGAAGACATGTAGGGAAGTGGATGTAAATTCCACGTATTTTTAACCTTGGCAGTAGACAGAGATCAGTTTTCTTTTTTGCCCCTGGGGAAAGAGCCCTTGTCATGTACCCATTGGCCAGGAGGCTGGGTGTGTTTCAGCCAGTTTGGAGGTGATGGCAAAAAGAAAAATCTCCACTCCTACTAAGAACTGAACTCCAAACATTCAGTAGACAACTTCACCAGTGTACTAAGGTATCCCAGCACCTCCATTTTCTATACCATCTGTAATGTAAGTAAGTGTCAAGATGCGAGTTCATTCCAGCATAAATATGCAGCTTGGGTGACAAACGAGTTTTGCTGCAAAACTTACAAAAAATAAGAAGAGATTTCAGGATTAACTACAACTTAGTTAATCACCCTCATGAACAGTCAACATCTGCAGCATTTCCATAATTCTGACTTAGCATCTTGTCACTGTATGAGCAAATATGGCAAGTTTCAGAAGTTGGGATTTCTTCACAATCTGAAGAAAGTCCAAGGCAATTCCATTTATAATACACGTTCCATACAAAACATCTTATCGCTTTACAGCCTGACACATTTCCTCACAGTTTAATGTTTCATGGCAGTTTCCTGTGCAAATAAAAACCAATTCCATTGGAAACATCATCACCACCCTGATGCCATCAGCCAAGTCTTAAAAGAAGGCCAAGCTTCAGTCTATGATATATGAAAATAATATCTCCATTTTTGATCACAGCATGATTCATGGGAACCATTTTTAAGTATGCATGTTCATATTTATATATATATATCTATATATATTGGTATTCTAAAATATTGCAATTTCCATAATTATTTGGTTGATGATACAAGTTGTGAAACATAATATATATATATACATATATTTATTACAGACACACTAATAAAATAAAGTGTAAAACCAGTCTTTATATATGCACAAATACAGCATTTTATATACACATGAGATACAAGGTCCTCATGGCAGTGAACATGAAGACTCCGGTCTTTTGGAATGTGATGCTGTCTAGTCTGGTACATCATTACCCAACGTTATGGAGGAACCTGCTGCCTCCATCTTCAGGGTAGAAGAGTAAGCCAAGTGTGGACAGTGAAGTACAGATGCAGAGGACTGTCATTCTTTCTACACTCACTTTGCTATTCTACCTGGAAGATGGAAGCAGTATGCTCCTCCAAAATGCAGAGCAGTGATGTACCAGGCTAGACAGCATCATACTCCAAATGACAGTAATCTTTATCTGTACATTTTACTTGCCCATTCCAACAAGAGCTTCATCCATGAGTTCATCATCTATGCTGCAGGGTGAAGCAGAGTGGGGTGAAGTAATCACCATAGGAGAAGCAGTGGTGGGAGTGGCAGCAGGTGACTGCACTATATGTACCTGGACAGAGGGTTGTGGTGGAGGCAGTGGGGGAGGAGGCGTGTTTCTACGGCTTGGAGCTGATACAGCCACAGCACGCTCTGGTACAGTTGCCAGTTTGCCAGGCTGTGGATCTGCAGGAAGAGGTTTATTTGGCAGAGATGTAGATGCTGACATGTCCAGGAGTATTTCAGCGGCTTCTTGCGAGGTAGTAGGCGTTGGTGTCATCTTATTCAGACCTGTTGACTTGCTTGAAATATCACTTAAGTTGACAAGTTTCTTGGAATCTTCTGCTTGCTTCTGAGATGATGAGGAAGTGAACTTATTCTGGGAGGAGTCCAGAGATTTGTTTGGGTGTAATGCAGAAAGAACTGAAGGGTCATTATTATTATTAGCAGAATATGACTTTGCAGGATTCTCAAGCTTTCCAGTAGCTTGAATTGTTGTTTCTTCCTTTGCATTATTCCCTGATATCTGTGCACTACGGGATAGATCAGGCTTCATTCGGGATATTTCAACTGATTCTCTGGATGAAGGCTCTGAACTGCTGGAAGGTAAGCTTGTAACTATGGCAACAGAAGTAGGAGTTGAAATTTGTGGACCAGTGTCAATACTTATATCTTGTAATTTGGAACTAACAGATGGGAACGTAGTAGTGGGTTGTTTTAATGCCTGTGTTGTAAGACTCGATATTGCTATTTGAGGTGTGACAGATACTACTGCTGGTATCTTGGAGCCTTTCAAATCATCTGTTGTTTTGGAAAGCGACTGAAATTTCGCTGAAGCATTTGAGGCATCTGCTTTCCCTACCAGATCTAAAGGTCTGGCTCCAGAATCCATCCTACTGCTGGATTCTGTACCTCCAATTGCAGTTTTATCTGAGGACTGTTTCTTTGAATCTCCTTCATTAAGGTTGCCACTTCGTGCAGACAGTTTTGGTATCTGAAATTTTGTATCTAACGATTTTATCATACCTTCAACCATAAGCTGTGGTGGTAAGGATGGTTCCATTTTAGCATGAGCTGTAACAAGTTTCAAAGGTCTCTCACTTTCTAACTCATCCCTCATACCAACTGGGCTAGACTTCCTAGCATCAGCACCCTTCGAGAACACCGACTTGTCACGATCACTGCTAGTCTTTGGAGGTCTTGGTTTATTGTCCCGTCTACTGGCATCAGCCAAACTACTCATTTTAGGTGACCCACTGGATTTTGAAGTAGACTTAGACAGAATGCCGGATACAGGAGAACTACTGGATTTTGTGGAGGATGGGATTTTAGAAGAAGGGTTGCCGCTGGCACTACTACTGCCTGCCTTACTACTAGAACTGGATATTCCACTGCTGCTACTGTTGCCACTGGCAGACTTCTGCTGCAGCATCTGGTGTGGTTTCTTTGAAGCCGGTCCACTGTTCACTCCTGGCTTCAGACCCGTGTGAGTCTTGGGTGATCCAGAACCAGTGCTAGATGATGAAGTTTTTACAACACCAGATTTAGAGTCTTTGGTTCGTGTTTTGTTGATCGTGATCTTTATGCCTTCGGAGCTTGGTTTCACCATATATTCTCCAGGATTCTTGCTACTACTGCTCACAGTACTACCAGATGTGTCTCCTGGTATTTTAGTGCTTGGGTTGGTACCACTACCTCGACCCTCTTTTACTACCTCACCTGGTTCAGGTCCCTGATGTTGAGCTGATTTAAGTTTATCTATCACTGCTGAAAGTGAGCCCTTCCGATTCCGTGCCTGAGGCACTGCAGACAATGATTTGCTCCCATCTATGGTTACTGAGGGGGGTGTCCCTGCACCACCCTGAGACCCTGTACTACCATCACCACTTCCACTTGTCATATCCAACTGTTTCAATTTCACACTAGATGATTTCAACTTAGGACTTGACCCAGAGCCAGAGCTGCCTCCACTAAAAGAACTGGATACTTTGCGATCCTTATCCTTGCTGGACGAAGACTTTACTTTGGCCACATCTGAGCCACTCTTCCCTGCAGTTGATGGGGAATTCGCTGCAGATTTGAGTGCAGACATACTTGGCTTCCCGGACCCTCCAGACGATTGCTGCTTAGGAGATGAGGTCCCATGATGTTTGGGGCTACTCGTGTAGCCTGGAGAATGTTTGGGACTCTGATGTGAAGTTGATGGTTTGCTGGAGCCGGATTTCGTCATGGAGATATTCAGATGTGTTGGGGAGGAAGTGACCTTCCGTAGTGCACTAGCTGGTGATGAAGGGCGAACAGATGTTAGAGGAGGTGATTCAGTAGGCTTTATGCTCACAGACACAGGTTTTGATAATGGATCTTGTTTAGGAGGAAGTTTGTCTGGGGGACCCATCGCAATACCAGAGCCTCCACTACAACCACTGGGACTGTCTTCACGTTTCCGTTTATTTCGTTTCTTGTCAGGTCTCATTTTGTCTTCAGTTCGACTCTTCCCACCCTTCCTGTCTCTGTTATTACGGTCATCTGCTGCAACAACTTTGGAGGAAATTGGGGTTATTGTGATGGAGGTATGAAGAGATGTGGCTGGAGTGGAAACAATGGGGATTATTTCAATGCCAGGTCTCCGTTCAAGTCCCATACCTGTTAAAACAGAATTAAAATTGGAACTGGATGAGGTGATTGGAGTTATGCTCACTGATGGAGCCACAAGACTTTTGCTTTCAGCCAAATCAAGAATTATTGTTGGGGGAGAAGTTTTCTTTTCTTTCCTTGCTTTCCGAACTATTATCTCCTCAACTTCTTGAACTGGCATGATTTCTTCTTCGCCAAAATCTGAACCTGTTTTTTCCTCCTCACAGTCCAAACTGGTTTCCATGGGGGCATCCCTTGAAGTCGGAGTTCCCAAAGGAGTTGAGTCACTGCTTGAGGTCTCTAAAACAATCTCACATTCTTCACTTTGCTTCCGTTTAGGACTTCGCCACATCCCGTCTTTGTTAGTTCGTTTTCGTTGCTTTTTGGAGTTCGATGTCTGTTCACTAAGCATGTTTAGCAAAACAGGCCCTTTTCCACCTGATCCCTGGCCAGATAGTAAAGCACCAAACTGAAATGTATTTGATACAGAACTGTCCATTGGATTTCCTGGACTCTGGAAACTGACACCTGTATCTGGCATGTCAGGGCCAAATCCTTGACGACTTCCTGAACCACTTAGTGACTGACTGTGAGGCAAGCTGCCACCATCAGGTTCAGTTTTAATGTGGCTCACATCAAAATCTGGTGGCATGGAATGGCTCCCATTAGAACCACCATGACCACGTCCAGGGTCACTACCTGGGGGAAGACTGAGGTTACCACCGGCTGCAAGACCATTTGAACGAAGATTCTGACTCTGCCACAATCGGATCAACGACCTCATGGTTACCGGTATCGACCAACATCTGCAACAACGATCAAATGCTACGTATAATTTTCCATCACATAACCTAAAATGTCCAATTTTATCTTTAAAAAAGTAAAAACTGTCTGTAAAATGTATCTGTCTTTCACAAAAGCCCTCCACATAATGGCTTCACTTCAAAGAATCCCAAACATGGCTGATCAAGTGAAACCCATCTGGGGGACTGCTTTGCACAGAAGTGTAGAGGCCATTAATAACTGTTCCTATGGGCACTGAAGCAGACATCCGAACAACACACCAGCTAAAGGATCCTCTCACAACAAACCCCCTGGACTACTGCTGAAATGACTGTACCACCACAGCCTTGCATATTTCTCTGGCCCTCCAGCATTCTTCTGAGGAGGCTGAATGCATGGTGAAGTGACAAGGTGGTACATCCAGGCTGTATGGGAAACGGTCCAACACCTTCACATCCACGGAGTCCCGCTGGACAGAGTGAGCCTCATGGAGATAGCAGCACTGTGCAACATGATAACAGTCACCATAAGCATGCCAGGACACTTTCTCTCAACGAGGTCCACAGTACTGCTGTGTTTTGATGATGATGTCACGGTCCTTCAACACCAGCAACAGTTGTCTGATGATTCAAGCCACATGAAGCTACAGGGTCATAACAGTGTAGTGATTCCAGAGTTCTTTGTGGTAGGGATTCATCGGCTGACACGCCAATAGGATGTTTGCCTCATCTACTCTGCTCCTTCATTCAGAATAATCCCAAAACAGGTTTCATTTGAACAAGCCTCACAAAAATCATCAAGACAAAACACTTGGATTTCATGATAACTTGGCATGGAGCCTCCACCTCTGCATAATCTGCTCTTATAGGCTTCACCCACTGCCAAACACAGTAACTTGAAAACATATGTGACATATCTGTACACACAGTAAAGAAGTTGCAATACACAGATAAACTTCCAGACAATAAATATTTAATTCAGGACAGACTATTTCAGAAAGGACATGACAGCAGTTCAGGAATATCACGCACTTTAATATCAATTAAAAATGGCTTGTCATATGAAAAAAAGTTAAAATAGTTTATATTCCTAACAGTTCATGTGCAGGTCATGCAGTTTACAGCTTACCCGTGCACATTGCTAGTGGTATTTGCAACCCTGTAGAGTGCTGTCTGTCTGTCTGTAAACATGAAACAACTCAAAAACTGCCCGATTGATTTTCATGATATTTGATTCTGCAGAATTTTAAGAAAAATTACACAGCCATTTCAATTTTAATTTTGCTCAAACAATTTTAAGGGCCACTCTACATGAAGACCTACATGAGTTTCTGCACATGTCTCGAGTAAAACTCACTATGCATGTATACAAATGAAAAATGTTTCATCAAAAGTTGTAGAGAAATATGAAACACGTTATGTTCAAATCTGTCCATAAAATATCTTGGATTATCTGCATTTCATGATTATTCATGTATCTTTTTTACCTTTGCTGGCATGGATAATTGAGAGTATGCTGTAGTATAAAGTATGGATATCAGTAAAGTCTCTTTCACCTAAAACAACTTTTCTTAATTTAATAAAAATTTAAAAACAATTTGTTTAAGCCTTCATGTAAAGCAGTAATACTAAGTTTCTTATCAAAATTAAATGTCTGGAATTCCTTAACCCTCTTCACAAAGATAAGGAAATTAGAATTTGCTATTTCCAGATAATTAAGATCGATATACATCTCTTCAAGATTTAAAAGCTCTATACTGGAAAACTGAAATGTCTCATATCCCTTTATTACACACTTCCCAATTAAAATCTGAAATATGTTCCTTTGCTTGCAGTACAAATGTTTTCAGAAACCAAAGGAAGAGACACTGACTAAGGAAAAATAAACTTCAACATCAAGCATGATTGACCAAGGCATGTCTCAGCCTGCCTGCATTCAACCATGCTTCTGAAAGTGCAATAAACACATGCATTAACGAAGTATACAAGCTTACAGATCACACATATTTCAATAAATTAAGTACAGTTCTAATCTAATAAGTACACAACCTGTATAACTGAGATCAAAAACTAAAAGCTGTTGTTGATGCACAGTTTCCAAACATCACTTCCTCTGCCATTTTCAATCTGCCAATAAAACCTCCAGGTTTCTCAACAAGCATCATATAAGGGCATATCATACTTGTATATATTATTTCAACACAAACAACCAAAACAACATGGAATAATGGATAAACTCAGCATTACCCCATACAATCATCAGACAAACTGAGGCATTTATCTCAGCAGTACACCATTTGATTCCCATACAGCTAAGTGTTTACACCCACTGGTGCACCCCAGCTTTCATCTCATAATGTCAGACGCATTTTCCTTTGAAGGGCTTCCTCCAAGAGTCACAGAAACAGAAATCACTAAGAGAAACGTCTAAGCTTACTGGTGGATGGGCAAGACATTCCACAACAGTCTGTCGGGAAGTTGTTGTCGACAGGATTTTGGAATGCACATCATTGCTGCGCAACACTATAGCACTTGGAGAAGTAAACATGTGGCCTAAACTTCTTCTCTGCTAGAATCGAACATGCCGTGTATCACTGGGACAAACATCTCAATTGCTGTGACAATTATGTGGAGAAATGGAAGATTCATCTGTAATTACTCGTTCTGTTGGACATTCCTTACATGTTAATTTTCAAAGGCATAAATGATCAATTTATAGGGGTTCATTAAATACACATTAGTAGTAAATATAAAATGTTGTCCAATATTCTTCTTTCAAGGTTAAGTCCATATATAGATGAAATTATTGGGGATCATCAGTTTGGGTTTCGACGTAACAGATCAACTACAGATCAGATCTTTTGCATTTGTCAGATATTGGAGAAAAAATGGGAGTACGATGAGACAGCACATCAGCTATTCATAGACTTCAAGAAAGCGTATGATTCAGTTATGAGGGATGTATTGTACAATATTCTAATAGAGTTTGGGATACCCATGAAACTAGTTAGGTTGATTAAAATGTGTTTAAACGAAACATATAGTAAGGTCCGTGTAGGTAAACATTTGTCCTATCCAGAATGGTCTAAAACAAGGAGATGCTTTATCGCCACTCTTTTTCAACTTTGCCTTAGAATATGCAATTAGGAAGGTCCAGGGAAACCAGGTGGGACTGAAATTAAATGGGACACATCAGCTGTTGGTCTACGCCGATGATGTGAATCTACTGGGTGACAATGTAGATACCATAAAGAAAAACACTTTAATTGACACAAGTAAGGAGGCTGGTCTAGAAGTAAACACAGAGAAAACTAACCGAACTAATTTTTTTGTGGGCAGAGCTTTTGTAGTACCGTGTTTTGCCGCTATGAGCGCATAGAGCTAACATTCCTGAGTCGATAAGCCGACTACCGTTGCTTCAGAAGGTAAGGACTAGTTTCGGCAGAGTTTATAGTGACAACTGTTTTGTGTGATCATCGTTCTTGCAATGGCTGATTTTCGTGAACAGCGTGCGGCGGTGAAATTCTGCTTTTTGCTCAGGAAAAGTGGAACAGAAACTCTTGAAATGTTAAAAACGGCGTACAAGGATGATGCTATGGGGAAAACTCAAGTGTTTGAGTGGTTTTCCCGTTTCAAAAATGGTGAAATGTCAATTGATGACAAACCTCGTTCTGGTCGTCCTTCCACGGCCCGAACACATGAAAATGTTGAAAAAATTCGTGAAATCATCAAGGAAGATCGATGACGGACCATTGAAGAAATTGTGGAGCTGTCGGGAGTGACTTGGAGCTCAGCGGCCAGATTTGTGGCAGTCGGGTGACTGGTTTTTCCATCATGACAATGCCCCTGCTCACACAGCCCTGTCTGTACGACAATTCCTGACCAAAAATGGTATGACCCCTGTTCCTCACCCTCCATACTCACCCGACCTTGCCCCGTGCGACTTTTTTTTGTTTCCTCGAATGAAAAGAGACATGAAAGGAAAAAACGACGGAAGCGCTGTCAAGCATCTCAAAAGATGAATTTAGACAATGTTTTGAAAAATGGAATAAGACTAGACAAGTGTATTAGTGTAAGTGGAGAGTACTTTGAAGGGGATTGAAGGTTTGTGCTTAAAATTTGAATAAATAAGTTAAAAAAAAAAATAAGTTCGGTTTCTTTTGGGTACCCCCTCGTATATGTTACTGTCTCATCACCAAAATGCAGGGCAAAATCATGACATAAAGATAGGAAACAGATGTTTTGAATATGTGGCACAGTTCACATATTTGGGAACAATAACAGATCGATATCTGATTCAGGAGGAAATTAAGAGGAGATTGAACTCGGGTAATGCTTGCTATCATTCAGTCCAGAAACTTTTGTCTTCTCACCTGTTGTCCAAAAACATAAAAATTAGAATATACAAAACTATAACTTTGCCTGTGGTTCTGTATGGGTGTGAAACTTGGTCTCTGACATTAAAGGAGGAACATAGACTGAGGGTGTTTGAGAACAGGGTATTGAGGGGAATATTTGGACCGAAGAGAGATGAAGTGACAGGAGGATGGAGAAAACTACATAATAAGGAGCTTCATAACTTGTACTCTTCGCCAAGTATAATGAGAATATAAACGTAAGGAGGATGAGATGGGCAGGACATGTAGAACGATTCAGGGATAAGAGGAATGCATATAGGATATTGGTGGGAAAGAGAGAAGGAAAGAGACCACTGGGAAGACCAAGGTGTAGGTGGGTGGACAATATTAGAATGGATCTTAGAGAGACAGGATGGGATGATATGGATTGGATAGATCTGGCTCAGGATAGGGACCAGTGGAGGGCTCTTGTGAACACGGTAATGAACCTTCGGGTTCCATAAAATGCTGGGAAATTCTTGAGTAGCTGCAGAATTGGCGGTTCCTCCAGAATGGCTCAGCTCCATGAGTGAGTAAGTAAGTAAGTAAGTAAGTAAGTAGTAAATTTCATTAATTTCTGTTAAAGTGGACTGAGAGATGAAATATCAGACATCTTTATTTGTATATGCCCACTCTACCAGTCAATAGATAAATTCTGAATTACCTCTGTAATACTTTACTGGCATGCTCAGGCGTACATCCATTTTCCCCGTTGCTGGCGCCATACACTTTACACTTGATGCTTGAAATATCAGTCAGATCCAACTCAGCTGTTGTCATGGTCTCTTCTAGGGGATGTTCAAAGGAAACAGAGAGATGCTGCCATGAGAGAGCAGTCACCTCAAGCATTACTACACTTTCCAGATCAGCTGTAAAGATCAGAACAAAACTATTGTTGTTATTGTTGTTGTTGCTTCTGCTAAAACTTCAAACATGAAATAACATTCAAATTAAGAAATTAAAGTTGAATCATGTAATTAAAAAAAAAAGTGGTAATGGGGATTCAAATTACAGGACTTGAGGTTCTCACAGCAGTGGTTTTCAAGAGTTCTATATTCTGGGATATAACACCATGCAGTCCAGTGAAAGTTAACTGATGTTTCAGAAGAACGTCACCTCCATCTTCAGGGTCGAAGAATAAGCCAAGCAAGAAACCTGCATAGCCTGCATCCTGATTCATGCTGGTTTCATGCTTGGCTTATTTTTTTGACTCTAAAGATGGAGGAGGCAACATGTTCTGCTAAAAATGTCAGTTGCCTTTCAACAGACTACACTGCATTACATCCCAGGAGATAAAACTATTCATGATTCAAACTGCACCCAAAACAATCTACCACAAAACCATGCATCATTGAGTGGGTCGGTCTAGTCATAATGCTCTAGTCTTGTGTTCAGCATGTGCTCAGTCCCAATCTTGGCCAGGATGTCAGCTACCCAGAGTGAGGATTTTCATGGTTTTTCTCAGCCCCTGCACAGGCAAATACTGCAACAGGAGCTTGGTTAGGCCATAACCACTTTGTTCCAAATGTTTTCAAATTCATCAGTCATCCTACTACCTGATGCTACAGTGTAGATACTAAAAATGTCATAAAATTATGCATAAAAAGAAATATTTGCACATTCCATTAAAAATCATGGCTACTGCACATACTGGTAAGAGTATGCAGTAAACAATCAAGGTATTGTTGAGCGATAATGATGGAAATGGTGTTTTCTGCTGGATCTAGCCCGAGGCTATATAACGAGGATTCCAGGCCAGCTAAAATAAGAATTTAGAATCTCCTTGAGATCAGAGTTGAAGGATTGAGAAGAGATGGCAAGAAAGGAATTGGGCTATGAAAAGAAGACTTCATGTGTGCTGCAGTTACAGTGAGACTGGTGTAATTACTGTTCTGAAATCTGCTGCCAGCATACTACTAGTGAAGATTGAGAATCCTAGTGCGTGTGTAATGGGGAACTGTAAAATGTGTAGATCAGTGATAGCGCTGTATCACTTGTAGTTACGAGTTGACTATATAAGTGCAATAAATCCAAAACCTGTCAAATAGTCACAACACCCCTAAAATATGTGGCAATTTAATAATTTCCTTACATAAGTTTCTATATAAATAAATACAATTATGTAATCAATAATATCAACTTAATTTCTACTATAATTAATGACACAAAATACACATGGAAAGAACCTCAAACAAGAATGAAAGCAGCTATGATGCCACAACAAGACTGATTTTAAGGTGTCTGACATGTGATTTTGCCTAATGTAATGGTTGTGTGGTAATAAAGAATAAATATCAATTGTTGTTGTTGGTAATGTTTCTTATTTTCCTATTTTTCCTTCTTCCCTGAAGATGGAGGCGATACGTTCCTCCGAAACGTTGGTTAACACCACATATACACGGTGCCACATCCCAGAAGACTGCTTTCTTCATCATTAAAACAGGTCAAAATGAGAACCATTTTCTCAAACATCTATGACACACTTTACAGGACACTGCTTGATCACATGCACCAGATTTAAAATAATAATAATTCAAAAGATGGTGAAAATCTGAGAAGGGTATACAAAGAAGCAGACAACCAGTGACGAGTGTGACTGAGACAAATATCACTTATGTCAAAATCATATTTAAGGAGGACACACAGATAACACAAACAGGAAATGGGCATCTCTGAAATATACAAGTCTGAAGTGCAACTGTTTAAGCCAGATTACTTGGTAATAACAACAGCAATACTACAATTACGACGACAATAAAAATATCTGCAACCCTGATGAAATAACAAAGAGATCAGAACGTACCATGCTTGCTGGCTGGCCTGATACAGCTCGAAACAAGAACATTGAATAGAGCCTGCTGCCGCAACAACATGAGGATCTGCGGAACATGAGCTGGGTGTGTGAAAGAGATGTTTGAAACCAAGATTCCTTCAAGGTTTTTGCTCTCGGTCATAAAGTAACAATGTTGCTGATCAGGTAATGTCTGGAACAAAATAAATATTATGTAGCATTTCACTAACTGACACAATCTTTGAAGATCCGTGGAGAAGGAACACAGTGAATCAGCGTTCATACCAGTGTCCTATTGTGTCAACCACATAAAGCCTTGTTTTCTGAGCACAGGGATGGACCAAAGAATCACATTTAAGATGGATGCTACAATTATCAGATTGTATACAACTCATGTAGGGGAAAGAGAAATCTCGTTACTTATGGTAAACATGGAAATCGTTCAGTGTTTCTAAAAGCACCCAGGCTTTGACCGATGCTGTCATTGGTACTTTTAACCACGCTGTCAGTTTTAATTTCAAATCAAATACATGTCTGCCTCAAGAATGTACACTGTGGTACTTCACCACATCTACTATGAGTTACACTTAATGTTAGGCTCCAATTGCTCAAACAGGCAGTATAATTAAGAATATTTTAGTTACTGCTTCTATAAACTTTCATTTCCAAAGAGTGCACAGGTACTCCTCGTTTTACGCAAGGTCAAAACATGTGATTCAATTTTAACGTGCAGAACTAATTTTGATAGACTTCAGTTAAGAGTGCTCACTTCAATCCAAACTGCTTGCTGGCTGATTAAATGAAGTGGGGAGAAGGGATGCCATGGAAAGGAGGAAAACTTGGCCTAGCCACAGAATTTCTTCTGCGCATCTACTGCTGTCACTCTCTAATGAGGTAAAGGAACCTTCAGTACAGTATTTCTTCATGTTCAAGTATATAAAATTTCACTCTCTGTAACTTTTTCTTGGAACAATAGACCGAGTAGTAGTAGTAGTAGTATATATTAACCACAAAAACGTTAAGTATGTTGGGGACATAAGGCTATCCCTGTAACAGGCTGTGGAGGCTTATGGGGTCCCACATTTTCTAGACAATTGGCTCAGGGATGGTGGTTAGACTGTCAGCCTTACACACTTTAGTCTCAGGAAGATTATCATAAAACTCCTTTCATAGAGTGCAATCATCCAAGGGCTTCCCAAACATCAATGAAGTGCTCAGATGGAAGAGCCAAATATATCTCCCACCAAGGGGCCCTGTGAACATTCTGACTGCAGGAAGAACTGACAAGTCTAAAACCTTGATAATGTCATGATTTAGGGTGAGTAGAGATGAGGTTTGGATTGGTGAATGGATTTATTGACTACACATACACACAACTTGGAACTACAAGTAATTACAGTGCCATCGTTGATCTCCACAATTCACCAATCACTACAGCACCAGCTAAGCCTTCAGCAGTCATTCCTTGGCAATGGCTTGTAACAATGGAGATTCTTCAGCTTCACACCCTGAGGTTCTATCTTCACAGCCTCCCATACAGAACTACCTTACAACTCACTGTGTTAACGTCAAAGTCAAAGTTACTTTACGATTGGTGGTTTACTGCTTATCAGTTTGCCTTGGTGTCAAGCATCTTGAGACTAATGACTTGAGATTCTTTTTCAACTGGGCCCTTGCAGTAATAGTCCTTATGAAACACCCTCTCTGTTGAGAGGATAGGTCTGTCTCTTATGGACACGCTTGGCCTTTCGTCAAACGTACGAATCACACATATAGCATGTCACCGAAAATTCTTCCTTGTGAAATATATATAAATCCTCTGCCAGTACAGGCTTTTCAAAGTAGATCATGCCTGTCTTATGTATTCACTCTGTTACAATTTTGTCACTTGCTTATAACATCTCGGGCATGAACCACGTAGAGACACCCCATTTCAAATGCTGTAGTCCAACTGTTGCATTATTAAGAAACTTCTGCCTAGCAATAGGAACGTGTTTTATCAAGCAACTACCCATAAACGGTTGCTTTTTACATAGTCACTGCTTAACAATGGGTCTATATGTCACAATAAATTAGAAACAAGCAGCATCCAGTCTTCCAAAATAAGGCTTTCACAATATATTAAAGCTTAGTAGTCAAAACACAGTGGAGATGGGAATAATCTAAAGGAACAGAAACAACGATGTTCATGATCCTGAAAATATACATCAGTTTGTAAAACCACAAGACACTTCATATTTATTAATAAATAAAACTGGCTTACAACTTTTGTTATATCACAGGTACACTGTGTGTCTGCAACATCTTTGAGAGTGCATCACCATCATAGTAGGTGATCCAGACTGTTGCATCATCATTACAAAGTTACTGGAGATCTTGTTGAACATACAGGATGTTGCCTATTCAAGGTATGACTACCTCTAATGATGTTTTACGCAAAGCACACATATAAATCTCTCCCTCAAGACTTTCCTTCTGACAGCATCATCCAACATTATATAACATGTGCACCTTTTCAGAAACACAAAATGATTCTGATTAATAGTGGTCTTTTCAACTGACTGATTATAAATGACCTAAAACTTAATTTATAATTACTTTAGATTCATAATTTTATATTGTGATATTAATTCAACTTTATTGTAAGTCTATAATATCATATTCCAGTGTCTTGGACGTGCAATATGGCGTTTATGTGGAAATTTCTGTATTCTGGCAGCGCCAAGAAGTCTGGAGTTCTGATGCTTATTTACAAAGCAATAATTAAATTTAGCTCAGGTACAGAAAACTAGACATACCTGCAAGAGTCAGTGAAAGAGCCAGGTGAAGAACCCATTATATTTGCCTGCGGATGAGAACTATACAAGGGCCATTATGACATAGTTGCCTCATTCAAACTTGCCTATGAGAGATGGAATGGCATGCATCAACCCATACCGGGAAAAATTAATATATTTTAATTCCCAAAGTGGGAATGTGCAAGCCATCTCTAAGCTTCTCACTCCTTCTCAATGTGCTGCAGTGTGCAGACATGATCCTTGCATGCTCTGAGCCCTAGTTCACTAAACAGATTCAGTGAAGTGGATTATTAGTTCAAATACGAAGTTGTAATTATTAAGCATTTATGTACAATAAACTAATAAATGTCATTTGCATAACAATATAAGTGAATTAGCATCAGAGTGAAACAATTCCTTGTTTATTGACGAATTCCAGCAGCTACCCTAAGTCTCATGCTAAACGACCCAGTTCATTTCCCGCAGCTACATACCTACCTCTATTAGTTAGTTCTGTAAGGTCAACTTGCAATGGCCCTAAATACTTACATCTTATCAATACACTATCCAAAAACAGGTGTAGAAGGGATATCACCATTCTGATTGAGCCGATACTACAGAGGAAGGTTGGAAAAGATCAGCATCAGAAAGAAAATAGAAAGCCATTACTTGAGCAACAGGTTTCGAGAAGCAGAATTAACCAGAAACTGACAGAACTATATAAAAATCCTCATCTGGTAGAAAATATTAGAAGAAGATGGGAATGGTTTCAGAGTGTGATTAGATTGGATCAAACAGGGATTGCTAAGAAGAGTTTTTGAAAGGAAGCCAGAGAAAAGAAAAGTGGAAAGGAGTAGACTGAAATGGCTAGAAGATATAGAGAATAATTTGTGACAGCTGAAAGTGAAGGGATGTAGGAAGAAGTTAAACAATAGAGAAGAATAAATATCTACTGTGAAGGAGGACTGTAGAGGCAAAAAGTAATTAAGAAGTCTGTTACTATACATGAGTAATGGAGCCTGGAATATAGATACATCTTTATCTGAGCTTTAAATTATTTCAGAGGTTTTACATTTTGTCAGGGAAATTTAAAATATTGCACCTCCCCCTTCTTGTATACCAGAGTACCAGCAGCTGTGTTTCTATAAAATAGCACAAAGAGCCAAAACATACCACAAAGAGCCCTCTGTTGTTGGCACAATCCAGCTGGCCAGTGGATGCATGCTGAGTCACGAGGCTCAGCAACGGGTGTGGAGTAGAAAGGTCTCCACACTCCATCTCGGTGATTTGCTGAATTCGGCGGACTAGCGGCAGACACATGGGCATTGGATTGTTAAGGCGTAGTGCAAAACAGGCAGGCAGTGTTGCAGAATTGTTGGCACTCAGTGGGGCATAAAGAGGTGAGCTGGCAACATGAAACAGGGAATCCATGAATGGTGGCAAAAACTGACTGCCGTTGCATCAGCCGCTTTTCTCGCTCAGGGTACAGAAGGGCAGAGCACTCAGACAGAAGAATTAGGCTGTGGTTGTGTTGTAGGTTGTGACACGGTGTAGTCTCATAGCTGGACATTGATATTTTGGAAAAACACTGCCTCAGTCTTCAGGGTTGAAGTATATAGAGTGAGGAATCAGATAGGTTATAAGGCGGGTTGTCTGGAAGCTACTGGCTTGAGCCAGGCTCTACCTCCCCCCCATGGGTCTTAGTGCCCACATTCCTTGCAAACTGCTTGTATGACCCAACCAATTCCTCATGGTACACATTCTGACCCTGAAGATGGAAACAGAATGTTCTTCAGAAATGTTGGTAGCCACCTACAAAACTGCATTGTGTAACAACTCAAAAAACCACAATCTCAAGAAGCACTCCTGTGAAAACTTCAGAACTTATATCAGCATAGCTACAATATATGAAGTGAACATCAGTAAAACTTACTACTCCCTAATATTGTATCATCATGTCATACACAAAATACTAATACAAGTTACAGACACATGGGTGCATAGACGAGGGCATACCCCAAAAATTTAAGTTACAGATGGAAGCATAGCTGTTTCATCAGCAATTTTAGAGTCAACTGAAGTCAAAACATGTAGTGTGCATACACCATTGACACAGAAAAGACTCTAACGTTTAAAACTTTTAAAGGTTTTAAAAAGCAAGTTGCACATGAGATAAATAACAACTAACACGAATAAATTACTACTCCCTTACTTCTGAATAAATGCCAACACAATGAAGACATCAAATACAGCTCCTGCATGTTGAAATTGAAAGATTTTACAAAATAATAATTACATCCTGACACACAAGATTCATTTTTGACAGCTTTAATCATCAATATCTTATAAAAACTAAATCCAAAATGTTCCGCATCTATAGACGGTGTCACGTAACTTCGAACAAGGCCCCGCATTCCTAGTCAAATCCCGCACATAGCTTGTGGTGGGAGGAGTTTCTTAACACTCGTTCTTCCACTTTCGCCGATCCCCTTTCACCCCCTTGTCTGAAATTTTTCTTCTGTGCATTCAAGGTTACTCTTGGCCTTGTTCGAAGTTATGTGACACTTGCTATGACACTAGCATTTGCTGCAAATTAACTTATATTAAATTCTATATAAAGAAGTCTCACTAAAATAAAACCTAAAATTATAATTTTAGATTTATCTGATCAATAAATCTGTTTACTTTTGAGTACTGTCAGAGTCAAATGATATGAAAATTAAAGAATTATGAATTAGAAAGGATGCCGATGGAAGTGGTAACGGCCTTATTTGAGGTACTACCCTGGCACATGGTTGCAGGAACTAAACAAAGGCATGAACATCTCAGTCAGCACAGATGGTCTCCAGGCTATGAACTGAACTTGGGACCTCCAGATTAGAAGCCGGAGTGCAAACCAATCAGTCACAATGTCTGGTAGCCAATAAGCACACAGCATAAAATACCAAATGATGGCAATTTCATCATAACATTACCCTAGCTTATCAGGTTATACCTTTCTAAATAAATTGGCGCAAAGACATTGCACATATTTTTGCATGTACGATTAACCTTGACTACACTACCTTGCAAACAAAACTGAGTGTTGTACATCAGACCACTGTCGGTTGCTGAATAAACAATGAAATCTACGTGAGTGATAAAACCAGATTTTAGAAAACTGACACTTCTACTGTGAAAATGAAAGTACAGTATGTGCCAAAATGTGCAGTACTGAAACTCGTGCGTCTCAAACTCTGAAGTGCGTTTGTCAATGGGGCATAGCTCCAGCCGCACATATTCCCAGTAGTGAAAAGGAAGTTGTGTTGTGCAGTTGTTGTTGGAAATTTGTCTCTCGACAGAGAAAAAAGTATTCATAGTTGAGTATTATTTCCGCTCAAACAGAAGTGGTCTCCAGACAACTCACTTCCTTGGTTTTGAGCGTCCAGATGTTATCATCTAGAAACCGCTACATAGTAGATGTGTGATGATATGGTGTGCCGTCTCAGCACACGGTATATTAGGGCCCTATTTCATTGATGAGGAAGGCAATGCTCTTACTGTCACCCAAGAACGCTACAGGGACTTGGCGATCGAACAATTTCTACAGGATTTGAGAAGGTTCTTTCGTGCAAGGGACCTTCACATGAATAGACAGCGGTATCAACAGGACATCTTTTCATTTCAGTACTGTATTTTGGCACATACTGTATTACATTCCTCAGCAGCATTAGTAATCATCTACTTGACTGCACACTACATCTCAGAAAATGGTTACATTCACCACCATCTCATGTTCTTCCCTCTGGGTGAGAGACAAACTTCCATGTCCATAATAGGTGAAATTACATTCTTGTATAATCTTCGAGTGTTTAGATAGAAGATAGCTTACCAAATCACAGTGTTTATATAACTGTTTCTAAATTTACAAGCCATAATTCTTGTCCTACAGTTCAAGTCCATGAGGTTATTTAATTGAAAATTAACGTTTTCCCTCTCAAATCCTAAGTTGGTACTCTATTGGCACTCTGTCCAAACTACAACATCCAACCAAGGTCAGACAGTAGGCCGCGCCATAGCTCAGGCAGTTAGTCACTGGCTTCCCATCGTGGTGGCCTAGGTTCGATCCTGGGTCTGGTCAAGTGGGATTTGTGGTTTACAAAGTGGCACTGGGACAGGTTTTCTCTGAGTACTTCGGTTTCCCCTGCCAATCTTCATTCCACCAATTGCTCCACAATCACCCTCACCTGTCATCTGGGGCTGGTACAATAGGCCAGAAGTGGTCACAGTACAAGGGACTTAGTCCCAGCCCACTAGCATTAATAAAAAAAAAAGGTCAGACAGTAATACACACTGTGACAGAACAAAACACTTCTCTTTCAGAATGCACTTTCTTGGATGTATGTAAACTGTTTGTATTCACTTCTCCACAGTGCAATAGTATGAAGTGTTAGCATGCAGTGAGAGAATGGCTACACTGGCAGGTAACTGACAGACAGTGATGCTGGTATTTCTAAGATCATAATCACCTTTTGCCATTTGGACTACGGTTCACTGAGATAAGAGGCGCTGTCTGCAGCTTATGTGCTGCAGATCCTTCCATACACACCATGACACTGTAACCAAGGTTTCGTGAAGTAACTTCCTGTACTGAGAGAGGCAGCGATGAATTTGTTTGCTGGTCCAGAAGATCATATGGAGGTACCAAATATGTCAGCTTCATGGCATGGCCTGTAATGTTCATTGGAAATTTATCTTGAATAAAATACAAATGTTGTTTATAAAATGCAATAGTCCACATATCCCTAAACTGCTGTTCTAACCATCCTCAAGGTGCATCTTAACCAAAATACCAAACTGAGGGATGAATCTTGCAGTAATGACAATGTCATCCCTGTACTTAACATTTACTGCCTGCACACTGTGCAATTGTGTTGGCGCTTGCATGCATGCATCCAACCAGTCCCAGCATGCCTAGCATCTCATTGTTTATTACACACATCCTGTTACTGCCAACTTAATATCCAACTGACAGAGTTATATCTCCTCTGACTGCTGAGTCTTGCCAAAGAACTACCCACTAGAAACTCTAAGGCTGGTGGTAGGTAAATGTTGCACAAAAAAATTCACAACACTTCCACAGATTACTTTCAAATGACCACAGATGAGGGTACATTTGGGATATTCATATTAGTTTGCATTGCATTAGAACTAGAACAAAAAACTAAAATGTATAACAAAAGTAAACCTTTATTAAAATGACTTAATTGGTCTCATAATAACACAAAATTAAAGTAAAAGAAAAAAATATTTTACTACTAATACAGATTTAAAAATCTATGCAAACGTATATTTTACTTTATATAACCGTTCTTTTCATCAAGGCCTCACAGCTCATCTGGCATGTGCACGACACACTGGTTGAGAACCACTGCTCCAGACTATTATTATTATTGTGACAATCTAACCGTTGCTGGGCAACGGGAGGTGGAACAAGTTACCACAAAGACAGACCCTTGATAAATGGTAGGTTGTCAAGTTACGCAACAGTAAGGAAAGCAGTGTTTCTCTGTGCCGTGCCAAGCAGAGCTGAAGTAAGCTGAGCCGAGCCAAACTGCGCTGGTTGCTATGCAGCAATAAACAACTCTCGGCAGCGTTCCCCACCAGTGCCAGTAAACGTGACATTTACGCAACAGTGAAGTGAGGTGGGTATTCCGCTGTCTGACTGAGGGTTCATACGGGAGACTGGAACATGTAAGGAGTGAGTTGAAAAGTAGCAACCGCCAAAGCCAGTTAGTATTCGGAGCCGTCGGTGCAGTCTAGCAGTCGCAGAGTTCAGTTGTAGCGAGTGAATTGTGAATGTAAAGAAGACGTCATACATCAGATGAAGTATAGTAGTCGTGGAAGAACCGGGCGCGTGATTAGAAGACTTTATGTGTGATACTCGGTAATAGTTTGTGATAACTGGGAAGTTACTGGGAGTGTGTAATTCAGCGACACTTGTATAGCTCCCGCATTATAGATACGTGAAGACTACTGAAGAGATTATTGTGTAGGGTTTGTAAATTGTCTAAACCCACAACAGTGTTATAATCAATTGTAATTACAACTTGTAGGTTGTTAAACAAACCAACTAACAATCTGAACAGCGTCTTCAGCGGCAAAACACGTTACATTATGCTTATCATACCAAGTTATAATTCGAGCTAGAAATGGGAACTCTCAGATTTTCCTGTGAATTTTCAACTGGCATTCCACTAGTATTTACAAGGGTTGGATAAAAAGTAGTGGCAACACTGCTGTAACATGAAAGGTGTGCGTCAGGTGGCACTAGCGCCATCTGTAGCTGATAGCAGAAGTTCAGTTGAAGTAGTGCAGTGAATGGCTCTGGTTGTGTTTCATTGAGTTCATTGAGCATCGTCTTGAAGTGCAGGAGCCCAGTTCAGGCACCCTAAGAACATGTTTACGAAACAAGAACAATGCTCCTGGGTAAAAATTGAAGTTGCACGAGGTCGTAGTGCACAAAACTATTATCAGGGACTGTGAGAAGCATGTGGTGATGCTGCTTTGCCATATCGCACAGTGGTACAATGGGTGAAATTGTTCCGTGAAGGGAGGGATGCCATTCAGGACAGCCGTCGTTCAGGACGACCCTACGTTGACAACCACACAATTCAGCTTCTTGCTTCTTTGCTGGATGTTGATTGTCGATGGGCTGTGCGGGAGTTAGCTGCTGAGATAGGCGTATGTCACAAACTGTGCTCCACATTCTGCATGATATTCTTGGATACCGCAAGATTGCAGCACGTTGGGTACTCCATTCAATGTCTGAGGTGCAACAATGGCAACGTTATGCAACTGCACAGGACTTGTTGGACCGGCACCAGAGGGAAGGTGATGACTTCCTTGGAAGGATCGTCACTTGGGCTCACTCATAAAAAACCTCACTTGAAGCGATAATCAAATGAATGGAAACATCCTGGCTCTCCTTGTCTAAAGAAAGTGCGCCCTACACAGAGTAATGTGAAGGCGATGTTCATTGCGGCATATGACCCTGATGGAGTGATACTGCACCACACAGACAGACAGTAAACGCTGCCTACTACTGCAATTTCCTGTGTAATCATCTTGTCCAGCACTCAGGAGAAAGCGACGGCACTTGTTGGCAATGAACCCCATCATCCTTCATGACAATGCAAGGGCTCATGCTGCTGACGCTGTCAAGGATCTCCTTCACCACTGGCGATGGGAGATACTGTAACATTCGCCATACTCACCGGATATGAGTCCATGCGATTATGATCTCTTTACCAAAATGAAAGAACCACTGCGAGGGACATGTTACAATACAAGAGAGGAGATTATTCGTGCTGTAGGGCAGTCACCTCTGGACATCAACAGAATTGGACGCACTGATGGTGTATGATGCCTTCCACAAATTTGGCAGAAGGTGGTACACATGGGGGGAAATTATATTGAAGGAATGTAAGTGTGTTTACCTCAGGTAATAAAGCCATTTCAGAACTATAGAGGTGTTGCCACTACTTTTTATCCAACCCTTATATAATTAGAAAACATTCTCATAAGCGCACAGTTACCAAAACGTTTATATTTTGTTATTAACACACTATTGACTAATATCTGCAAGAAGAAGTCAGCCATTCTGTTCAAACATCTCACGTCTCTGCAATAACTTGAAATTAACACTTAAAATGTCCTATTATTCTATCTTGTCATAAACAGAAGACAGTCTCACATGCTCTTTGACCAAAATGTGTTTTACATCCGAGTATAATGACTAAGGTGAAGACTGAACAACTGGAGGACTGGGGTTCAATTCATGACAAGAGTTAAGAGTTTTCTCTTCTCCATAGCATACAGACTGGCTCTGTGGCCTGCCCATCCTTCTATCTGGTGAGTACTGTGGACTCTTCCTCTGGAAGTAAAGTGGTCAGGGTATGAAGGTAACCACTCACCTCTATCTAATGTTGAGGTTAACCTTTTCAATACCATGTACCAACCAGACTGGTTTTGGATACTCGTACTAGAACTACCACAGCCAATTAGATGAGCTCACTGTTAACCAATTAGTACAGCATTTCCATCAATAAACAGCATCAAATGTAACGTGATGTGCAAGGAAGGAATGAGCTTCCACATGGCCTATACCTGCTGTTGTTTAACGGTTGTAAGAGGATGCATTATGGGTTCTTTTGTGCATTTACCTCCATACAGCATGGATATTTCTTGTAGGCAGTCCTATGTCAGGACATAGTGGTATAAGGGTTAGGAGTCTGTGGAGCTATATCTCTGATCCTCCATACAGCTTTATGGCGAAGGTGTTTAATTTAGCATAGGGATGACTTTACCAAAGAAGATCTAAATACAGGCCAACACAGTTAACAGCAGGGACTTTCTGCCATTTGGGTACAGTCACAAGGGCATGCAAGGCTCTATTTAAGGAAGCGTCATACCTCCACGCCTCTTTTCCAAAATTCCAACAGGTGACTTGTGAACCAAATTGAATGGTTCCTTGATGAAAGCCTGGAATGTGGCAAGCGTTGCTAAATCTGCCTCAAGGCTCTGCAATGCACTGAATGCCTTGCACTTTACTTTCTTTTCAGCATTTAATTGATAGATGGATGCCAGACCTTCTAACTGTGCCGTGAAGTCGGCGAAATCTCCATTTGATAAGCATGACACCAGCTCTTCACAGCTCTGTAGAAGAGAATAGAGAGTAAGTAAACTTACACCACAATTCCATATTTATTCACTGACACACATTTACCAACATTTGGAGGAATGCTGGTACTCTCGTAACTGTGCTGGCTTGCACAACTTACTCTTTGACCCCGAAGATGGAGTTAACACATTTCTTTGAAATTCCACTGGACTCCTAAAAGGCTATATAGCATCACATCCCAGAAGATGGAATTCTTCAAGAAATTACTATATTTATCCTGAAGAACAGTGGTTCATATATGTATCACCTGCCTTAACATTATGAACTCTGCAAAATTTGCACACAGAATGTGATTCTGGGTTTCACATGATTCTCACAGCAACAGTAAGTATTTCTCTAAGCAGGATTGCTTAACTAGTGCTTGTAATGGAGATGTAGTGTTTTCTGAGAGGTCAAAACTGAATTTTTAAACATTATTTAGATGTATTTCATGCCTCAAAAGTGTCAATTAAAATATACTTCAAGATGAAAAACTGTCCAATAAATTGTGAAAACAAATTTTAAGGTATCTTTGGCAACTGGTGTAATTAAACATCACACGGCGAGAAATCTTAAATGGAGATAATTAAACTCTGAAATCACTGGCTTTGCATAACTGAAACTGAACACTGTACGAGGGAAAGTCTTAAATATAGAAATATTATACAGGGGTTCCAGTGCACATCTATTGTTTCACACAAAATCACCAGATGCATTTATAATCTTAACCTACATAAAACTTCTAGATTCAGTGTTTGATCTATTACTGTTTCACAAAGTTGCTGTATTATTTCAAAGGTGTAGGTAAGTCACCTCAACAAATGCTTCACATTCTTCATCACAAAAAACTTCAGATCTCACTTGAAATATTAGCATTTATACTTTCATTTCAGAAATTTGTACAGCTGCCACAATGACATAATGCTTATATACAGTTTAAAGAAATCTGATCAATTTATGCAAAAGTTATTTAGGAAGGCAAAAATACATGGATAAACTCCGTGGCTTTAGTCCAAAAGCGAACTATACCGACCGAGCGACCGTCACTTGATGGTGAGGTTAGTGCCAACTTTAGCAGACAGAGGGTGTTGCGTGGTCAGCATAATGAATCCCCACGGCCATTAATTTTGGTTTTCTAGACTGGAGAAGATACATGGATACTGTATGAAATTAAAATCTAGCAGAAGTTTCCATTTTTGGGGATATGGCTGTTTTCTTTATCAGCATGCGTTAGCATATTTGGTTGAGGCATTATGATACAAGCCAGAAGGTCGCGAGTTCAATTCCCAATGGGGCCACTAAAGTTCCAGTCACACCATGGCCCTGGTGTCGACTCAGCCTCTAACAGATGTGAATCTTCCTGAGAGTAAAGGGTGGCCAGCCACTGCATAAGGCTGACCTCACCACCATTTGTGAGCTGACTGTCTAGGAAAGCCTCGACATCTCGCAACCCTATGAGCCTCCACTGCCTTTTACAGGGATAGCTTTACTTCTATATCACAGAGCATAGCAGCTGAAACTTTAATGAAGGAATAACATTCAAATGCTGTACTGATTCTCAATCAATGTCTGGTCATTACAGATTTAATTCCTTACAAAAATTGCAAAACAATGAAACAGTTCCCTACCTTTGGCACTGGGACTTCACTAAATAATCTGTTGCCATATATCATACCTAGTGCTTTAATCAGTAACACATGACAATACAATTAACTAATTAATTAATACAACACACTATCTTAATAGAGATTTCTGAAATTCATCCACAAGGAAATCTTTAAGACTACGCAGTAAATTTCATGTAAGCATACGTCATATATGAACTACCCTCTGTCCCAAAAACATAATGATGATCAGATCACATTTTTTGTAAAATGTATTTCACCAGAAAATTCAAACACACAAATCAAAAGAAATTAAAGTTTACTGGTGTAATAAATGAGGTTCTTTTATCACAATATCTAAGCAGAGAGGTTAAAAGATGGAGGCAATATATTCCATGTCACACACCAGAACACAGCCATAAGAAATTCAAATGTCATATCATACACACTTACTTGCTGTTCAACTTTACCCTCATGGTGAATTCTGACGTCTTTGACTCCTCCTGTTGACTCTAACATCACCTCCAGATAGAACATATCTGATGATATAAACCAATCAAGTGGTGATCCACCAGGTGAAAATTTTAACCTATAAAATGAATACTTATATCACAAATTTCAGTATTACCACAATTCCAGTCAGCTTAGATTTTTCCTGTTGTGGCATAATGATCTGCAACAGGTGTCTCAACCTGTATCATTTGACGTTCCCCTTAGTCTCAGAGTTAAACTTCACACGCCCCTTTTCAGTGGTGACACAATTTTTATCTCACACTCTGGGTTACTGTGCACAGTAAACACAAGAACATATATGGACAGATTAAATATTCCTATTTCCTGAAAGCATAACATTACAGCGAGAACAGCAGACACATCAAAAATGTATTCTGAAGTAGCGGGGAGGGGACAAGTTCCAGCTTCCAAACACCCATCAATCTTTCCACTTTTGACATCCCTGTGTAATGGTAAGCTAATTAGTCATGAATTAATATGATTATTTTCTTTCCTTGAGGGTTATTTAACAATGCTTTCAATTCCTCAACTGCACATGTCAATGGATGGAGACATGAATGACAAAATGAAAAGGATTTTGAAGGATAAGGTTGCAATCTAACTGAGGTACTATCGCAGCAAAGGCCTGGCATGACTGAGTAAAACTACAATATTGTTCAGACAGGATAGCTGGTATCCCTGTTGAGATTCAAACCAAGCACATCCCAAGTATGAGTCTAAAGTGGTACCACTATGCCACCCCACTTAATAATACATTCTGATGCAGGAAGTTTGAAGATGATAAAAAAATACACCACAGTAGTAGAAATAGGTTCAACCAGAAAGGAATAAAATGAAATAAAAATGAAAATTTAGAGGTTAATTTTTCTTCCAGTTTTTGCTATTCTGTACCATGCACACAAAACAAAGAATATCAAATGGGTAACCAGAAATCTTATCTTCCATCTGACATATATGTGATGATTGTTGTCTTCTGGAATGTGTCATCGTGTTGTCTGGTATGAAATTGTCAATACTTAGGGGGAAAATGGTGTCACAGCCCTGGATACAAATATTACAAGACATATACATATAACATCTGTGAGCCATATGTGCATTTGCATACCCTCACACACAGTGTGATCATTTGTAAATTTAAACATAATTATTTAAACAAATCTGAAAATTAAGTTTAGTGTATGGACTGTCTTTTATATTGTGCAGGCATGAAAAGCGGTGGGTGAACCCCACTCATATCTCTTGACACACTTTTATTATACAAGGTTATCAACTCCGTCCAGTGTGATTGATAAATGCTTTTCTTTCTCGCCTTCTTAATCTTTCATCCTTGACATGTTTCGGTCTGAGAGACCATCTTCAGAAGGATATATCAATACAGGCGGAAACTACTATTACAATGTGATTGGTCAGTATCAATACATACGTACAATATCATTACAATTCCATGAATATAAAATCTGACCCTTTAACAACTACAGTGATGTGCATGAATATATTAAAATATTTATAAAACATTATAATTAGTTTATTTACGAGTGTGGTGTAAAAGGACTTTGTTAAAATTTAGAACCAGTTTGGTTCATGTACATTATACCGCCTCTCTTCAAAGGAAGGTGAGTGTCTACCACATCATGGTTCCATTGTTTGACAAATAGGACACTTTAGTGTCGTCCTGTTGTTCGGACCATGCCGTGGTGATATTTGTCAAACAAAGGAATGATGATATGGTAGACATTCAACTTCCTTTAAAGAGAGGCAGTATAAGGTACATGACCCAAATTGGTTTTAAACTTTAACAAAGTCCTTTTACACCACACTCGTAAATAAACTAATTATAATGTTTTATAAATATTTTAATATATTCATGCACATCACTGTAGTTGTTAAAGGGTCAGATTTTATATTCATGGAATTGTAATGATATTGTATGTATGTAATGATATTGACGAACCGCACTGTAACAGTAGTTTCTGCTTGTATTGATATATTCTTCTGAAAATGGTCTCTCAGACCGAAACATGTCAAGGATGAAAGATTAAAAAGGAGAGAAAAAAAATCATTTATCGATCACACTGGAAGGAGTTGATAACCTTTTGTAATATTGCTAGTGTGACAGACCAGGATGAACCAAATCAAACTCTTGAGACACAAACTTTACTGTACTTGACCTATGCAACATTATTTCAGTTATGTTATTCCATGTCCAAATGCCAAATGTGATATATACAGGAACAAGTGTTCATGTCTGTGTGAAAAAAATCTGCAATGAAATTAAGTACATGATTACAGCATGAATTTCAGAAGGTTACAGTTCCACCTAAAGAAACTAACTGTAGAACTGTAAATGAATTAAGACAAAGACAGGATCATTACTGGGAAAAATAAAGTAAATCATGATGCTGAGTGCTCAATAAAGATAAACTGGATCAAATCTGCACTGGGCTTGAACACACATCTCAAAACCCCTTTTGGATAGTGTAGAGGAAACCAGAGTTTCAAAATTTTCAGGACAGTCATAAAAACTCTTGATACTGAATGACTAAATCTTTCTTGGAAGTGTCACAAACAGGTGTAACGGAGACACCAGCTCTGCTAGTCAGTGAGCACAATTTGACAGGAGCATCCAAGCCTGTGGAGTTGAATGATTGGTAACTGACTGCAGAAAGCTCGAAATGGCCGCACTGTAAGTTAATCATATAAAACACATACAAACAAACTCCGTGATTTTAGTCCGCAAGCGAACTATACCGACCGAGCGACCACCACTTGTCGGCGAAGTGAGTGCCAACTTTAGCAGATAGAGGGTGTCGTGTGGTCAGCACAACAAATCCCCATGGCCATTAATTTCGGTTTTCTAGACTGGAGTTGCTATTTCCTCGAAATAGCTCCTCAATTATCATCACAAGGCTAAGTGGACCCCGTTCCAGGCCCACTAATTCTCAGAAAAAATCTGGTAGTGCCGGGATAACGATGAAAAAAACATCACTTGCAGTAACAGCAGTCTTGGGGCCGCGCCATAGCTCAACTGGTTAGTCGCTGGCTTCCCACAGCAGTGGCCCAGGTTCGATCCCGTGTCTGGTCAAGTGGGATTTGTGGTGGACAAGGTTGCACTGGGGCAGGTTTTCTCCGAGTTCTTCAGTTTCCCCTGCCAATTTTCATTCCATCAATTGCTCCACTATCACCCTCACCTATCATCTGGGGCTGGTACAATAGGCCAGAAGTGGCCACAGTACAAGGGACTTAGTCCCACCCCACTAGCAATAATAAAAAAAAACAGCAGTCTTTCTGTCTTTCTTTGTGTCAGTGTCTAAACTGTTCAGAGGAGCTGCAGTATATGTGCATTTAACTTATGTGAATTCAACCATATATGCTCAACAAAAAGAAAAAAAAAATAGAAAAATACAAATTTAAAAAGTGCAGGCAATTCCACATGATGTGCCACTCAGTGAACATTAGCCTGGAGTCAGCACAAACCCTCAGTCATCCTCAGTTCCCAGGGGACTAATCATCAGAATATCCAGGATGAACGGTGAGCATTTAAGTTTACTGTTTTCCGTATTTATTCTTTCAGTCTCCCATCTCTCTCTATTTCTCACATAACTAAAAATTAAATTACATGTTATGTGTATATGTACTCTTTATTAGATACATACATATTACAGGGCATATACAAAACCATGCATAATTTAAGGGACTTTCAAGGGTAACTCTCGACTATATGCGATTTTGGGTTTACACACCATCTTTAGAACATAACTCCAACATAAGAAGTGACTCCACCACATGGCAGAATAACTGAAGAATGATTAACTAGTAAGGATTTGGTAGGAAGGGGTTGCCACCTGAGGTACAGGCATTTGCCTGGAGGGACTGAGAAAAACCACATAAAAACTCAGTCAGGACAGCTGGTAACTTGGCTGAGATTCGAATCCAGCATATCCTGAATACTGTTACAGCTATGCCAACCTGCTTGGTGACGGCAGTGTTGAAATAAAAGTGAGTGGCAACATACCCCAGCTGCCTTGTAACACTTTCAAGACGCTCCACCATCCCTTGCAATGACGTGACCTTGATTGAATGCTGTAAGATGTCTAAACATTTCTGCAGTTGATTTTTCTCCACACTGTCCACTGGATAGCGTTTATCCTGTAGTGCAAAACAAAATAATTAAGACAACATTCAGACATATACCATAATTGATACATGAGTAAACACACAATTCTGAAACAATTTCAAGATTTATTATGAATATAATATATTAATTAGTTATCTGAATATTTAATTATAAACAAAAAGAGAAAGTTCCTCTTCCACCTGAACACACCATGCCATGAAGGTATATTGGGGACACTGAAGTAAAGACTCCACCCATTCTAGATCTTTGCACTTAACGAAAGCAAGTGGTTAAGTTTCATGCTCCAGCCACTTAACCCCCCTCCCTCTGGAGCATACTGCAAAACAGGGTGGCCGAGCCCAAGACATATTCTGCATGTGGCCAATAAGAGAAAACTTTCAACATTCCTAACAGTAAGATTACGGTCTTCTGGGATGGGTACCAACATACCAAACCTCAGTCAACTCCCAATCAGTGTTCCTTGATTTAAGGTTCTTCCCCATTTTGTGTTCAATTTCAGTGATCCAGTCTCAATAAACTCAGCATTAAATCACCTCCATTTAAGATTTTCTTGTTTAGTGTCCAAACTCACTGGTTCCCATAGAAACCTTAAATGGGGGTTTCAATATACATGGTGCTGCATCTGAAAAGACTGGAATCTTGATACTCACTCCTGTGAGAACATCATGTCCCACGTCCTTCCACCATTTGGCTCCTAGTACTGAACAAGTAAATGGCTTTTTGGCTTTACATTTCATTCCTGTACCAAATGAGGCATGGTGATTTTTACATTTTATATCAAAAACCATCAACTGATTGATAATTTTAACTAGTTATTTACATTTATTAATCAATTAACCAGTTAAGAGAAATACTTTTGAAAATCACAGTTATCCCTTGATTTACAAAAGTAATTTGTTCCATGCGAACTGTCTGCAAGATGCAAATTCATAAATCGAAAATGGAATTCCCATCACTTTACACACTGTTTGAAGGGCTATGCTGAATTATCCATGGAAAACTTGGAGAAGGACAACAGAAGAGGAAATAACAGAGATGGGAAGGACCTGGAGAGAGGTTAAGGCATTGGCAAACCAGACGAAAAGATGGAGAAGCCTCACAGGAGCCCTATGTTTCACTAGGAACTAAAGGAATTAAGCTAAGCTAATCAGGAATAATTTGGGTGGGGAAGAGGGTCAGCCAAATTAAGTGATAATCTGGAGCAGTGAAGCAAAAGGTAGCCCTAAAAGACAAAAAAATTTAGAATATAAATAAATGGAAAATTTTATGATATAAGTAGTGCTCGTGAAACTAAACAACAAAATATCACAGTACGGCCTTTATTTAGAAACTATAAAAAGACAATACATTTATTCGATATGAGACTCAGAAATTTTACTTGTTTTTGAATGTAATAATGCAGGTTTGAGGAAACTATTGAAGTTTTGCCTGAACAGACAAATGACTCGTCTGTCTTCTTAAATGCCATGTGTCTTCTAAAGTACATACTCACCTTTATCCAGATTAACTGTAACCGGATTACCGAAGGTTTAGAGTACTACAGCGACACACAGCCAAACACAACATCAATGAATAATCCTTAAATCCATGCTGTGGGTGGGTTATTTTACAATGTTGTCAGCAGTGAGACTATGTAGCACTGAATGGAGTGAATGTTAGGATAACAGATGAACCAGAAAAAATTTCTGGGTTGGAGGGGTTGTTTTACCATGCTTACAGTAGTAACATAGAGCCAGGATAGCATGGTCGGTATAGCAACTGGCTATGAGCTGGATGACCAAGGGGTCTGAGTTCAAGTCCTGGTGGGCTCAAGAATTTTATCTTCTCCATTTCATCCAGAGCAGCAATTTACCTAGATGGACTGAGGAAAACCATACAAAATTTAGTCATCATAACTGCTCTCCAGACCAAATTTTCAACCCAGGACCTCCCAAATACAGAGTGGCAGTGCTCTCCAATTTACTGTGATGTTCAGTAGTTGCAATGCTGAATTTCTCATATTCATAAAAAAAAATTGCCTTAACATATCTCATACTTCATGTAACCTCCAAGTCAGACATAACCAGGATGTTGTGAAATAAAGCAATACAGAAGCAGATACTTGCCAGTAATGACATCCTCAACGCTTTTGCACTTTCTACAAATGACTTGAACTGTCCAGCTTTTGACCGAAGTTTCTCCATCAGCAACTCAAGCTGCCACTCCTTTGCTTTATCCATGTTTTATGCACTACCTAAATTAGGAAACGACACACATCTGATTACTCAACTGAACAAGAAAAGATTTACTGTCACATATAATTCGTGATTATTATAGAAATTGTTTTACACGGAAGCATAACAATTCCGTTTTATTGCCAAACTGAGAGCACTGAATGTATATATTGCAGAAGTATTGACAGATGAATGCTAATTTATAAATACTACCTTAAGTTGTAAAATTGAAACTTACAAATTTATAGGTTAAGTTTATAGTGTTCGAGCTTTATGGAAGGCTACACTAATCCTGTATAATTTGAACAACCTTATCAAGCCGATCATTCTATTTTACTGCGTGATTTTTGACTTGCAAATCTTTCTAACTGGCCTGCAAATGAATACATAGATGCCACGTCTAATAACTCAATCATAAGTCAAGTAACAAAACTACAGAACGGAAGCATCCGTCGCACCGGAACATATGTAATCATTTGTTGCTCTAATCACAAAATATGCTACCCAATAGGATTCTTCTGGAATATAATTCAAATAATTGTACAAAAGTAATAAATTATAAGATATGCAGAATGATAGAATAGTTTATGCTATAAATAATTGGGAATGATTAACTATGAAGTTGACTATGTTAGTTGTACAGTTAATCAGAATGTTTGGAAACAAATTCACGTGAATAACATTACTTTTGCATTACATTACCCGTATGACGCTGAGCTAAAATAACGCATAACAAACCGGCGAAAAAATCGAGCAAACATACTACAAACAGTATCTCTCTTCTAACAATTTGTAGTTGTAAGATTCACTACCATGTTATGATCAGAGTGACCAACTGAATACTACCGTAACTATTTCCCGCCTACAGTCATTCATTCATTCTCCCATTGTATATTCCATAAAACCATATACATAGATATAGAACCAGTCATATAGTTAATGTACATTAACATTTCATTAACATGTACGTAGTTCACTGCAAATAATTTGCGAGATTTCTTTTTGCAGCAGATATCCTATGATACGAAGGCGATCTAGTGTTTGCAGTGCTATATGGAACAGTCGTTCTTTTGTGAATGTGGAATGCGACCCTATTTAGTTAGTAAGTGGGTACCAAATTACAAGGCGATCCAGGATGACGGTAATCTGAGGTCACCACAGCCAAAGCCACAAAAGCGCTCAAATGTCACAAATTGTTCTATTATGTATGCGTAATAATTATTTCAGTAGTTCTATTACTTTCCCATAAACTGTACTCTCAATGCAATTGTTGACATGGGCTGGTACAGTCGCACACGCAAAACAAACAGCACGAGTGAACTGGCCAAACAAGCATGTGCTGTGGGTATAAGTGAACAGCTGTTTGAATGCAATTGGTTAAGGTGAGCAAATAACAGAGGGGAAGTAATTTGCTTTCACCAAGATGCACATATGAGATATCTGGGAAAGGGAATAGCCCAGCTGTCTCATGAGCGACCAAGACATTATTGCCGTCGTAGCTATCATCCCAATGAAAATGCTGTGCCAAACGAGAAAAAAACAAAAGCAATGGTGGTGGCAAGGAGCAGTATTAACAGATTTACGGCTGGAGGACCAAGGAAGTTTGCAAGTTGTCACAAGAATGTGACTTGGAAAAATTGGCAACAATTATAGGTCCCCAAATAGCTAAAAGGCCGGTCACGGTAGCCGAGGGGTCTAAGGCATGCACTGTCTTCGCTTGCTCGGAAGCCGGGATCGTGGGTTCGAATCCCGCTCAGGGCGTGGATGTTTGTGTGCGTTTTTCTGTGTTTGTCTACAGGTAGAGGCCTTTCGACGAGCTGATCACTCGCCCAAGGAGTCCTACCATATGTGTAAGATCGAGAAAAACCGAAGTGAACGAGTTCATGGAGGTAGGCCTAGGCCCACTGGGGCTGTAGTGCCAAGGAAAAAAAAATAGCTAAAAGAGAGACAAACTTCAGAGAAACGATTTTTATTAATCAGAGATTGGATGTGACTGCGCATTTTAGCAACTGGTGACTCCTACCCAAGTTTAACATATCATTTCAAATTTTCCATGTAGTTCATATCAAAGATAGTACCAGAAGTATCTGAAGCTGTAATAAAGGGATTACAAGGATATAATGAGGTATGAAACGGTGATATGTAATTGTGGAAGACGTTTAAATATGAAATGAAAATGCGTACATTGTGGAGAGTCAAACGGTTGATTTAAGTTGTAATTAAGAATCCTCTTCTGTTCATGATGGTGTGGAGGGTACGTGAGACACTTGATTCATTGGACATAGTTACCCCTGTAACTTAACATATGTCTGTTGATATTATCAAGTAGTGTAAGTTGTGATACAGAAGAAAAAAGGAGTGTATGAGGAACAAAGCACACATATTGCACCAGACATGTATTGAAAGCCTCAGAGAACGTCTACGTACAAAATCCTTAGTCATTAATATCTTATAATACAGAAACATTGTTCTCAACAGAAAATCATTTATGATGAAAAATAAATGACTCAGAATAAAGCCTTGAGGGATGGTTGCCAGCAAAGCCAGACATCTGCCCCTGCCCCCCGGATTTTTGTAAAAAATCAATATCAAAAAAAAGAAGGAAATATATCACATTAATACCAAAAATTAAAAAGTATTAAAATACATTCTTCTGTCTTTAATACTGTAGAGCTGTCAGTAAAAATAGTGTTTTATTGTTTAGATTTAAGTTTGTAAACATTTTCTGAGTGCTGTCTTCTTCAGACGATTGAGGTGAAGCCCATACTAGGTGTACTCCTGTATTTCACAGGCAGTCTATTAGGGAGGTGATCTTCAAAATTATCTTATTTATGAGTTATTTGGCCCGTGCCATAGCTCAAGCGGTTAGTCGTTGGCTTCCCACCGCAATGGCCCGGGTTCGATCCCGGATCTGGTCAAGTGGGATTTGTGGTGGACAAAGTGGCGCTGGGGCAGGTTTTCTCCAAGTACTTCGGTTTCCCCTGCCAATCTTCATTCCACCAATTGCTCCACAATCACCCTTACCTATCATCTGGGGCTGGTACAACAGGCCAGAAGTGGCCGCAGTACAAGGGACTCAGTCCCACCCCACTAGCAATAAAAAAAAAGAAATATGAGTTATTTGTATTTGCTGTGTAAGGTAAAGGTAAAATTAGTCCTGTGCTTAATTAAGCAGTATGCCATTAAGATATATGGGGGAGTGGAAGTATAGCTCCATCATTCTTGACCTTGGCACTGGATGGAGGTGAGTGGTCAGCTTTACACCCTGGTTGCTTTATGCTTGGAGATAGAACCTTCAGTACCCACTGGATAGAAGTCTGAATGGGTTCCAGAGCTATTCTGGATGTTGCTGAGTAGAAATCTCATGCACCTGCCAGGAATCGAACCTTGGCCATCCAGCCCTTAGCCCATCACAATACTGACTGAGCTATCCCAACTCTCACTTCCTGTGTCCTGACATTTCAACGAAATACACCACTCCTTGAAATTGAAAACAGAGGTTTTGCTTCTCAGAAACGTTGGGCTGCATCCAAACTACATACATGGTGTTATAGCCTGGAGGATTGTACTTTTTTAAGTTTGTCTCTATTTTTGTCACCCAAAATATGGAGATGCTTGTATGTAAACCAAGAACCGGCGTCGATTTCTTCACATTTCTTGGCAGACTTCTTTTACTTGACTTTCTGGTGCTCTCTCCTACTGAACAATATAAGAAGTGAAACCAGCACACAACATAGAAATAAAAAGACTGGATATCTGAAAGACAAAATTGATGAGCTTGCAACAAACATTAAGAACAAGAACACTTGTATAGATCAGTAAAAGAATTTAAGAAAGGTTAACAACCTACAAGTAACTTAGTAAAGGTTGAGACTGGTGATCTGCTTGAAGATTCACACAACATTTTGAAGGCCAGTTAGGCAGATGGAAAAACATACAGCTGAGCTGTCATTACTGACCTTTTGAGGTTAAAAATGCTATTGAAATGCTGAAAAAGTATAGATTTCCAGATAAAGATAAAATCCCACAGAACTGATTCAAGCAGGAGATGAAACATTATGGTCTGAGGTGCATAACCCTTTGGAGTATGGAAGGAGTCCATAACTATCAATTTACATGAAGGGTGATAAAACAAGTCCATACACAGATAAAATTATTGGGGGTCATCAGCGTGGGTTTTGATGTAACAGATCAACAACAGAGCAGATTTTTTTTATATTCATCAGATAATAGAAAAAAAAGGGAGTACAATGAGACAGTACATCAGTTATTCATAAACTTCAAGAAAGCCCATGTGTCAGTTAGAAGGGAAATATTGTACAATATTCTCAGAATCTGGGATACAAATAAAACAAGTTAGGCTGATTAAAATGTGTTTAAATGAAACCTATAGTAAAGCTGCAATACGCAAACATTTGTCTGATAAATTTATTATCCAAAATGGTCTAAAACAAGGATATGCTTTATTCCCATTGCTTTAAAATATGCCATTAGGAAAGTCCAGGAAAACCAGGTAAAAAAAAGGCAGAGTTGTCCCTGTAATTAAGCACTATGCCATGAAGACTCATGGGGGAGTAGATGTACAGACCCACATTTTCTTGACCTTGGCTCTGGTTGGAGGTGTGTGGTCAATTTCACGCCCTGGCTGCTTTAGCCCCAGGGAAAGAGCCCTCAGTACCCATTGGATAGGAGGCTGGGTGGGCCCAGAGAAAGTCTGGATGACATGTTGAAGTACTGAAATTAAATGGGACACATCTGCAGCTTGTCTATGCTGATGTAAATCTAGTGGGAGATAACATAGATACCATTAAGATAAACACAGAGAAAATTAAGTATATGTTACTGAATCATAACATAAAGACAGCTGATAGATCTTTAAAAATGTGGCACAGTATAAATACTTCAGAACGACAGTAACAAATCAAAACCTGATTCAAGAGGAAATTAAGAGAGTGAATTTGAGTAACGCTTGCTACCATTCTATCCAGAACCTTTGGTCTTCTCGTCTACAGTCTAAAAACGTAAAAATTAGAATATACAAGATTATAATTTTGCCTGTGGTTCTGTATGGGAGGAATATAGACTGAGGGTGTTGGAGAACACAGTTCTGAGGATAATATTTGGACTGAAGAGAGATAAATGACAGGAGATTGGAGAGAACTCCATAATGAGGAGCTTCATAACTTTTACTCTTCGCCAAGTACTTAGAGTGATCAAGTCAAGGATGATGAGATGGGCAAGACATGTAGCATGAATGGGTGAGAAGAGGACTGCATATAAGATGTTGGTGGGAAAGCCAAAAGGAAGGAGACCATTAGGAAGACCAAGACATAAATGGGAGGAAAATGCGTCTTAGAGATAGGATGGCATGGTATGGACTGGACTGGTCTGGCTCAGGATAGAGCCCAGTGGAGGGCTGGTGTGAGCATGGTACTGAACCTTTGGG